TGTGTCCATGGCCTGTATACATCTAAGGTTGCTGGGGCCCCTTCATTCCCTGCCAATGGGTAAGGCTATCATTGGGTACTGGCCCCTTCCTACTCTCTCATCTCCTGACTCATACTGACTCCCTCCTGAGCTCAGCTCTGAATCCTCCTGTTCTTCCCTCGTAACTGGACTTTTGTTGTGGGGTTCAAGTCTCCTCAGGGACCTGGGTCTTCCACCCTTCGGTCCCTTGACCCCCCTATTGTACCCTAGTACTCTAGTTACTTTCTTAGCCTTCTCTTTCCGTCTCTCTCTCTCTCTCTCTAATTTCTGCAATTCCAATTAGGTTTGCTGCTGTTGTTCCAAAAGTTTCTTAAGAACCTCAACTGTACTTTCTTCCTTTTCTTTATCCTCACCCTCCTCTCTCTTTCGAGACTCCGAGAGCCACATCATGGCCGTATCTAGCCCTTCCACTCGGTCTCTGCATCTGTTTTACCATGGATTTGAGTTTGTCTGCGTCCAGACGTCCCTCAAAACCATACCTCTCCCTCCACCTGGTCACATCATGGAGGATCCTTCTATCCCTGGACTCCATCAATCTTGTAATAATTCACTCAATAATTATTCTCCTTTGGACTTATTATAAGGTGCGACTTTTGAGCAAATGTTATGATCAACTTTTGTAATTAACCATTTAAATTATTCAACCCGTAACCCAGATTGTTTTAAGACCCCAGTTTCATGAAACGGATGGGACAACCATTCTTTCTCACGCGACCTATTTTAGTCCCTTCCTTGAAACAATTCATTATCGCGACTTTCGATGGATCATTAGGTCTCACACGTATACAACCTTATATGATTATTAGTTAACACTATCGGTAACCCGGAGTTTGTAAATCTCACACTCTTCCTCTGTAGAGGTGAATGGCAGCGGGTGGAAAGCCAAAAGCTCTAAGGCATGATGGCGGGATTAGGTAACAAGGTTACCTTGGATAACCCTGCGGCAAACTGTAGGCACAAATGGTGGACTGACACTGCGTGCAGCTCACTCAATTGCTTTGCAGATGTAAGGGAAATTAGTAGCTTGGAAACTGTTTTTAGTAGCGGTATGAAGGAGAGATATTGCATCGCCATGCTTTCCAGCGGCTCAAAAGGCTGCTGTGAAATAGCCTCAATTGTGTCAATGGCTTACACACAATACCCCATAATGTCAAAGTGGAATTATGTTTTTTGACATTTTTACAAATAAATACAAAATTAAAAGCTGAAATGTTTGAGTCAATAAGTATTCAATCCCTTTGTTATGGCAAGCCTAAATAAGTTCAGGAGTAAAAATGTACATAACAAGTCACATAATAAGTTGCATGGACTCACTCTGTGTGCAATAATAATGTTTAACATGATATTTGAATGACTACCTCATCTCTGTACCCCACACATGCAATTATCTGTAAGGTCCCTCAGTCGAGCAGTGAAGTTCAAACACAGATTCAACCACAAAGACCAGGGACGTTTTCTAATGCCTCGCAAAGAAGGGCACCTATTGGTAGATGGGTTAAAATAAAAAAGCAAACATTGAAATTCCCTTTGAGCATGGTGAAGTTATTAATTACACTTTGGATGGTGTATCAATACACCCAGTCACTACAAAGATACAGGCGTCCTTCCCAACTCAGTTGCCGGAGAGGAAGGAAAACACTCAGGGATTTCACCATGAGGCCAATGGTGACTTTAAAACAGTTACAGCGTTTTAATGGCTGTGATAGGAGAAAACTGAGGATGGCTCAACAACATTGTAGTTACTCCACAATACTAACCTAATTGACAGAGTGAAAAGAAGGAAGCCTGTGTTATTTGCCACATTTGTATTTATTTATTTTACCTTTATTTAACTAGGCAAGTCAGTTAAGAACAAATTATTTTTTACAATGACTGCTTACACCAGCCAAACCCGGACGATGCTGGGCCAATTGTGCGCCGGCCTATGCGTTGAATACAACAGGTGTAGACCTTACAGTGAAATGCTTACTTACAAGCCCTTAACCAACAATGCAGTTTTAAGAAAAATAAGTGTTACATAAAAAATAGATAAGTAAAAAATAATTAAAGAGCAGCAGTAAAATAAAATAACAGTAGGGAGGCTATATACAGGGGGTACCGGTACAGAGTCAATGTGCGGGGGCACCAGTTAGTCGAGGTAATTGAGGCAATATGTACATGTGGGTAGAGTTAAAGTGACTATGCATAGATAATAAACAGAGTAGCAGCAGCGTAAAAGAGGGGGTGGGGGGGACAATGCAAATAGTCCGGGTAGCCATGATTAGATGTTCAGGAGTCTTATGAAGCTGTAAAAGAAGCCTTTTGGAGAGAGAGAACAGTCTATGATTAGGGTGGCTGGAGTCTTTGACAATTTTTAGGGCCTTCCTCTGACACTGCCTGGTATAGAGGTCCTTGATGGCAGGAAGCTTGGCCCCAGTGATGTACTGGGCCGTACGCACTACCCTCTGTAGTGCCTTGCGGTCGGAGGCCGAGCAGTTGCCACATCAGGCGGTGATGCAACCAGTCAGGATGCTCTCAATGGTGCAGCTGTATAACTTTTTGAGGATCTGAGGACCCATGCCAAATCTTTTCAGTCTCCTGAGGGGGAATAGACGTTGTCGTGCCCTCTTCACAACTGTCTTGGTGTGTTTGGACCATGATAGTTCGTTGGTGATGTGGACACCAAGGAACTTGAAGCTCTCAACCTGCTCCACTACAGCCCCGTCGATGAGAATGAGGGCGTGCTTGTGAGTTAAGGTTTTTCGTGGCCCCACCCCCATCAAAGTTGCCCATCCCTGCTCTAGGTCAATGTGAGAATCAGAAATGGATAGCAATCAATAATGGATAATACATTTCTTGTTCCAGATTACATGTCTGGCATCTATTAATCAGTTATTGTCCCATTTGGTCAATGCCAAGGGAATGACAGGCACCCACACAATAAGTAACAGGGACATTATTTCGTTCTAGACCTTTAAACATAGTTGGTGATCTTGAACTGCTTGCTACCCTTGACAACATTTTTGGAGTTCTAGGTTTTGATAGGTCATTTAGAATGTCCCCATTCTCACAATAACCCACCCAACCTTGTGACACCACACCACCATAGCATCCATAACTGCCAATTACCTACCACTTTTCAAAAGCTCTGACATGGAACCATCAAATTACTAATTTGCTTTATCAATTTCCGATTAGGAAAATTAACCACAGTCACAATAATATTGATCGTGACTGTGAGGCTAGCACGCTTGCGGTGATGCGCTTCTGTGTTGCGTGGCCTTTGAACCCATTGTTGTGTCGCGGCTGACGTCAGTTCTGTGTGCGAGACAGGCAGAGCGGCGTGCGCCTGGCGAGACAAAGGCGGCGGACCAGGGAACAGCCGGGATAAATATCCAGATACAATTGTCGGGAGGTATCTGCATGGAAATATAATGATAGACTACGAACCGATGCAAAGATTGACGGGCCGCTAAATGACCTCGACATTCGTCTGGAATAGGATCTTATAAACAGCCTGTCCCTTCTCTTTCGTTTTTAAACATTTTCTCCAACGCCCCCAATTTAGCGAGCTAGCTACTAGATAGCATTAGTGCACTGGTCGCCACTCATCTTTCCTTCAAGAATCAAAAGAGAGGAACTCCATAAAATTGGGAGGTTGCCAAAAGGTAAAGTAACTTCATGATATTTTATTCAAATAAAAAATACAAGTATTTGGCTTAGACAAATTATTGAACTGAAATATTTTTGCTCAGTCCTCTTTTTTTTCCTGTAGTCCACAATCATCTCCTTTGTCTTGATCACGTTGAGGGAGAGGTTGTTATCCTGGCACCACACGGCCAGGTCTCTGACCTCCTCCCTATAGGCTGTCTCACTGTTGTGTTGTCGGCGAACTTAATGATGGAGTTGGAGTCGTGCCTGGCCATGCAGTCATGGGTGAACAGGGAGTACAGGAGGGGACTGAGCACGAAGCCCTGAGGGTTCCCCGTGTTGAGGATCAGCGTGGCAGATGTGTTTTTACCTACCCTTACCACCTGGGGGCGGCCCGTCAGGAAGTCCTTTGCAACAAGGCACTTAAGTAATACTGCAAAAAATGTGGCAAAGAAATTAACTTTTTGTCCTGAATACAAAGCGTTATGTTTTGGGCAAACACAACACATCACTGAGTACCACTCTTTATATTTCCAAGCATGGTGGTGGCTGCATCATGTTATGGGTATGCTTGTCATCGGCAAGGACTAGGGAGTTTTTCTATGATAAAAAGAAACAGAATAGAGCTAAGCACAGGCAAAATCCTAGAGGAAAACCTGGTTGTCTGCTTTCCAACAGACACTGGGAGACAAATGTACATTTCAGCAGGACAATAACCTATAGATAATAGGCAGAATCTACCGCACACCCAAAGCTGATTTATGAAGGTGCTGAAGGCAAAAGGCAAAACTGGAGAAACAGGAAAAATTCCCCGCACAATTCCACTCAGATGCTAATTTATTTTAATTATAGCTGAGCTTTCGGTCAGTCAACCTTCATCAGAGCATATCTCCACAAGCAATAGTGGGACAGATAAGGCCACAGCGAGCCAGAGGTAATTGCCTGTGGTAATCTAAAGTACCCAAAAGGGCCACTAGATGTCATATCCTATAGAAATACAGGATCGAACAGAACATGTTTTAGATGTATTTCTACTAGAACGAAACATGCACACAGGGAATGTGGTGTTAGTATAAGGAACCCATACTCTCAAAGTGAGCAATAAAGCCCAAAAACTGCAAAAGAAAGAAGAGGAAAACATATACAACACCTATGTACATATGTAGAACCAAGAGAAATCTAGAAATCTAGATAAAGGTAAAGGTAACCTGTTGGGGAAGTATCGGGCCAGTAAGGCCGTCATGAATACAGGACACCATAATACCAGGGAGGCGGTGTGTGTGTGTGTGTGTGTGTGTGTTTGAAGCTAAGATGAAAATAGGAATTACAACATGACCCTCATATCAAAATCCTCATTAAGTCCTAACGGCTGTATGGTGCCTAAGGTATGAATCCAGAGTTCTCTTTGGCAGAGTTTACGGTCATTGTCTCCTCTTCTCGGTGACACTTCCACCTTCTCACTGCCCTGGAATTGTAGAGAAGACAGGACAATAACCTAAACCACAAGGACAAATGTACATTGGAATTGCTTACCAAGATGACATTGAATGTTCCTGTGTGGCCTAGTTACAGTTTTGACTTAAATTGGCTTGAAAATCTATGGCAAGACTTGAAAATGTCTGTCTAGCAATGATCAACAACCAACTTGACAAAGCTTGAAGAATTTTTACAATCCAGGTGTGCAAAGCTCTTAGAGACTTACCCAGAAAGTCTTACAGCTGTAATCGCTGCCAAAGGTGATTCTAACATGTATTGACTCAGGTGTGTGAATATTTATGTAAATGAAATTCTGTAATTCATTTTCAATACATCTGCAAAAATGTCAAAAAAAAAGTTTTCTCTTTGTCATTATGGGGTATTGTATGGAAGAGTATTAGAGCCAAGTGAAGATAAAAAATGTATACATGGTGAGGGGTGGTGGTACTTGGATGTTTTTTAAAGAACTTTAAAAAAGTGTCAATATTTCGAGAATACAGTCGCAGTTATATTTCAAGATGAACATAGGGGATTTGGTAAATGTCATGTCTCCCTGGATCCCTGTTGCTGTGCCCGCCACTGTTAAAATGCCTGAGTTAGATGACCTGGTGAAACTAGACTTTAGAATTGGCTTTAGTGACAAGGACATCCTTGCTCTTTTAGCACAGAATAACCATATTATTATAAGTATTAGAAACAGGAAGAGGCTGTGCCACAGATTATTTTCAGGAGGTGTAACCGTGGTTAAATACTTAGGTAGAGATGGGCTGGTTGTGTGTGTGGGTGGTAAAAAGTAGGGGCAAAACAAACAAATGGCTATCAATCTAATGATCTAATACACTTGCACGCACACACGCGCATTCACACACACACACACACACAACAAGTTTCCCCCTGGACTAGACTATAGGCCTACACTCTTCTAACGGCCATGGTGCGTTATGAACACACACAAAATGCCCTTGAGTGGCCCAGCCAGAGCCTGGACTTGAACCCGATCAAACATCACTGGAGAGACCTGAAAATAGCTGTGCAGCGACACTCCCCATCCAACCTGACAGAGCTTTAGAGGATCTGCAGAGAAGAATGGGAGAAACTCCCCAAATACAGGTGTGCCAAGTTTGTGGCGTCATACCTAAGAAGACCCGAGGCTGTAATCAGTGCCAAAGGTGCTTAAACAAAGTACTGAGTAAAGGGTCTGAATACTTATGTAAATGTGACCTTTTTTTTTATTTTTTTATTTTACATTTTATACATTTGCAAAAATGTATAAAAACCTGTTTTTGTTTTGTCATTATGGGGTATTGTGTGTGGATTGATGAGGGGGGAAAAACTATTTAAATACATTTTAGAATAAGGCTGTAACGTAACAAAATGTGGAAAAGGTCAAGGGGTCTGAATACTTTCCGAATGCACTATAAGTAATTTATGTAACCACACAGACTTGGATGAAAATAGAAAGTATTTCCTTGTTACTAAAGCCCATTCTAAAGTATAGTTTCACCAGGTATATAATATATAATAATAATAATAATAATATGCCATTTAGCAGACACTTTTATCCAAAGCGACTTACAGTCATGTGTGCATACATTTTTACGTATGGGTGGTCCCGGGGATCGAACCCACTACCCTGGCGTTACAAGTGCCATGCTCTACCAATTGAGCTACAGGCATTTCAACGGTAGCACACACAGCAACAGGGAGCCAGGGCAATATGCAGTTAACCAAATCCACGACTTTAATCTTGAAATATAACATTCTCTAAATTAAATTAAATCAAAAATATTGCCACTTTATTCTCTAAATATTGCCACTTTATTCTCTAAATATTGCCACTTATTCACAAAATCTAATTTCAACTTTATTCTCTAAATATTGGCACTTTATTCTCGGAATATTGGCACTTTTTAAAAGTACTATTATGCCCCAAAAATTATCCAAGTACCACCACCTGTCGCTGTTTTTGATATTTTTTTTCTCTTCACTACGGTAGTGTGTGTAGATGGGTGAGAAAAAAACAATTTAATGCTATTTGAATTGAGGCTGTAACGCAAAAGAAGTTGGAATAAGTCAAGGAAAGGGGTATGAATACTTTCTAAAGGCACTGTATTTGGATAGAACAAGAGTTTTATGCAAGAGTGACCAGCTCTTTGTTTCTTGGGCCCCTCTCTCATCAAATGCTATCCTATTGGTTAGTGGAGGATATTATATTGTCTTATGGTAGCAACGGTTTACAGCCCCCGGAGGGCCTGTGGGCTCATTCCACCAGAGGTATGGCTACCTCTCGGGCACTGTTCAAAGGCAATATCTTTACAAGAGATTTGCGATACGGCATGTTGGGCCACTCCTCATACGTTTTGAGGTTTTACCGACTGGACGTCACTGCACCTTCGTTGGCGCATACTGTCCTCAGTGTCTGAGGGGTGATGTTGTTGGGACTACCCTAGCTTTGAAGAGCATGTCTGCAATATGGGAGTTGGCCATATCCTCATGTGATACATCGAAAAAAGTATTTGAAAGAGAACTTAAGGTTACTTTTGTAACCCCGGTTCTCTGATAATATGAGTGTGATGTATCACCGCATTTCCCTGCTCGCAAGAGCACAAGGAATAGAGGCATGCTTGAGAATGACCAGAGGACTGGCGAGTGGCGCCTTATAAAGAGGGAAGGCCTCACCTCATTCGCCACTCGATCTGTCTGTCTCCGACAGACGTCGTGTGATTGGTTCTTCGTGTAGTAATCCGCCTGGAGTGAATCCCCCATATGTAATACATCTCACTCATATTATCAGAGAACCGGGGTTATGAAAGTAACCTTATGTTCTTTCTCTCTCTCTCCCCCTCACAGAGAAGTTCAACACGTACGTGACCCTGAAGGTGCAGAATGTGAAGAGCACCACCATCGCTGTCCGGGGCAGCCTGCCCAGTTGGGAGCAGGACTTCATGTTGTGAGTCCTCTCTTTCTCTATCACTCCATCTCCCTCTCTTCACCATTTCTCTCCATGCGTCTCTCCTTTTCTTTGTCACTCCTTACCTTTCCTCTTTCATCTCCATCTCTCTTTATCCTCTTCATTTGTGTTATGTCTCCGTCTCCGTCTCTACCTCCTTTTCCTTTCTACTGCTCTCTCATCCATCCTTTCTCCCTTGGTACCTCTATCACTCACTCCCTCTCCACATTGGCTACCTCCCAGCCCCTCTCTCTCCACTCCTCCTTCTCCTCTTCCTACCCATTTGCTCCTTGATCTCTTACTTTCTTCCTCCTTCCTCCTCCTCTCTTCTCCAACCGTTCCCTCAGCTTCCCTCTGCTTTCTCTTCCTCTTCTTTCATATAACCTTCTCTTTGGGGACGTTTCCATTTTCAGACTTGAATGGGGCACTTAGTAACAGTCAGTGTGCTAATCAGTGAGTGTGGATGGTGTAGTGAACTAGTCAGTGAGTGTGGATGGTGTGGGTAGCTAGCTAGTGAGTCTATACTAGTTTGACTGGTGTGTAGTCGGCTAATGAGTGTATACTAGCTTGACTGGTGTATATTGTGCCAGTGAGGGTGTACTACATTAGGGCCGGGAATTGCCAGGGAACTCTCGATAAGATATTATCACGATACTTAGGTGCCGATACGATATGTATAACGAGTCTTAGGATTCTCTGAATTCTATATGTGTTGCGTTTTCATACAGCGATTGTATTGCGATTTGATGTTCCAAACATATTGCTCACTATATGTCTGCTGTAGAGAGACAAGTGAGAGCATGAGAAAACAAGTTTTGATCAGTCAGGGAAATAAAAGTGCTGAAAACATGTTGGCTCACTATTGAAAAAGAATGATGGAGAACAAGCTATAGGATGAAAAACACCGGAGTTTTGGCGCATGTATAACCAACTAGCGCTAGCTAACGCTGTCTACAGTTGCAAATATTTTACAAGTCAATACTTGGAGTCAAATATCGATATAATATCGTGATATGCAACTGTATACAAGTTTTCCCCCCATCACTACCAGTGAGTATTAGTTTGTCTGGTGTGTAGTGTGCCAGTGAGTGTATACTAGTTAGACTGGTGTGTATTGTGCTCACTAGTGGGTTATGAAACGTGTAGGCAGCAGGCTGGCTGGCTGACTGCAGATTAGCGTCCGTTGGGCTGCCTGTAGTGTGATGGTGCTAGGCGTTGGGCATTGTAATAGTGTTGCACCACGGAAGGTGTTATGTAAGACTCCTATCCCTTTGTAATGGCTCCCAGTCCCCTCCCTCAGTTACGGACACTAATCAAAATGGCACTTAAAAGTCACTACCCAGACTGGAAATCCTGCTTTTTAAATTAAAGTTCCCACTCTTTCCCTCCAGGCGCTGAATACAATCTCCACCTCCCTCTCTCCCCCCCCCCTCCCTCTACTCTCTAGATGGCACTTCTCTCTCTCACAGACACACATATACAGTTAAACACATGCTTTGTCTTCCCTGCTCTCCTCTCTCGTTCTCGCTCACTTTCTTGTCCCCCCCCCCCCCCCCCCCACCCCCCATATTTCTCTGTTTAATAACTCCCTGTTGTCTTGTAAAGGCTGTTTGTTAGATTCCTCCCAGGCTCTCTCTTATAGAGACATGTTTTCTTTTTGTTACCATCAGACCCATAAGTAATTAGTATGAAGACAGCGGTGTACCACCTGTGTGTGTGTGTGTGTGTGTGTGTCAGCACAATGGACAGAGCGTGCCGCAGTGTGTATAGGGGGGCTATGGAAAGCCACTGAGGTGGTTAGGTATGACTTGGGTTTCCTTAAAAAGCGGGGGAAAATAATGTGATACGCCTTCGCCTGTAATATTTGATTTTGATTTATAAGGGCGGGTGTCAAGTTTACCGTTCAAGCTGCTAGCTGTAAAAAGCATTAGTGTTATTAGCCTAATTCGAACCAGCTAATCTGCCACTGCCACGATGGATATCAGAAATGGAGAGCGAGGAGCAGCAGCAGCATCAAACCACCGAGGCCACCGCCAAGTCCAGCAGCGATGATACTGCTGAGCTCCAGCTAGCTCCGCGTGTGCAGAGCCTACCCACCCTTCCACAAGCACCGCCAGGATAATGGCTCCACAGCCCCCTCCACCTCTGACTGTTCCTGAAGATCTTGGAACAGAGGAGCCAGCCCAGGTTAGCATAGAATCATACCCTAGCTGCAGGTTTTCTGTCCAAAAACGTTAATTTAATAGCAACTGGTTCATAGGAAGAGAGTGGCTGGAATACTCGGTTACTGCAGATCCGGCATTTTTTTCCCCCATGTCGAAAGTTCTGTAGTAAGCTGTAGGCTATGTTTAGGTTATTTGGATCTCCATTCGTCTTTTGTTTACTGCATTTGTTTACTGTTAATGTAACTAGCCTAAATATAGATGGTGTCATGCCTTTATCGATCTGATATTTAGTTTACTAGGCCTACTTGTTACTGCTGTTTTGTTCTGTTCACATTAATTCATTCGCATTCGCAGTTGTGTGGGAATTCTAATGCAAACTAGTATTCAGTATTTGTTTTGCATGCATGAAAAACTAGGCTACTACTTTCAGCATTTAGTTTGCATTATTTTTGTTAGACAGCTGTGTGTACGGCTGCATTCACATAGGGTGTTTGTAATAGGTGAATTACCCTATCGAACTTGTAGCCTATATTCATCCACAAAACAGCCTTGCTTTAGTGTGTAAGGCACTGTCCATTGTGCTGATACAGCGCAGCGGAGATTTCGCGCCAACCTGCCACTTCAAAAGCACTCAATCAATGGTTTTGGAGTCTCGGCATTTGAACTTTGTTTATTGTGGTATAGTGTGATATAAGCAGAATTCAATATATATTCCAATGCAAGAACCCCCCAAAATTGTTCCCCCTCACCGATTTAAATTGCCCCCTTAGTCACTTTATCCTGGCGCCAGGTCTGGTGTGTGTGTGTGTGTGTGTGTGTGTGTGTGTGTTAACAACGCTGTGTGTGCATGTGTGTGAGATGAATCTTTACAATCACAATCACACAGCACATTTTTATGTCCCACTCTGGGCTATTGTTTGACTCTGTTTATGTCTCTGTTCAATCTAATTTCTCCTCATCCCCTCTTTCCCCTCCCTCTCTTCTTCCACTCAGTTTATTCCTGTCCTCCTGACACACACAGAAGTGTATCTCTCCTCACCATTCTCTCTCCTGCTATCTTTCCCCTTTCTATTCTCTCCTCTGTGCTGTCTTTTCTCTCTTTCCTTTCCGAATGTTCTCTCTCTCTCTCTCTCTCTCTCTCTCTCTCTCTCTCTCTCTCTCTCTCTCTCTCTCTCTCTCTCTCTCTCTCTCTCTCTCTCTCTCTCTCTCTCTCTCTAGTGAGATCAACAGGCTGGACCTGGGGCTGACGGTGGAGGTGTGGAATAAAGGCTTAATATGGGACACCATGGTGGGAACCGTTTGGATCCCCCTGCACAGCATCCACCAATCAAACGTGGTACACTACACCCCCCAATACTTACACTAGCATACTACTTAGTATGCCAAGTGACTATGTGAGCATGTCTCCCTAAGCCATGGCAAGGCAACTCCTTGGGATAATGAATTATACCAGCCATGGAATTAGAATGAGTGGAATGAATAATCAGAATGACTCACTGAATGAGTCCCCACAGAAAGATCCAGGGACAGACATAATGTTTTGTTAGCCTGATCCCAGATCTGTTTGTGCTGTTTTACGAACTCTTTGTGACAATGACCGTAGAAGAGTTGGTAAGACAGCACGAACAGATCTGGGACCTGACTAATGTTTTTGTATGCAGTATAACAATTTGGATCTAAATAACAAACTAACAATGATAATGAATGGTATATCAGGTCTATGCATTCTATTTCTATGTGTAGGAGAGTCCGGGGGAGTGGTTGACCCTGGACTCCCAGGTCATCATGGCGGACAACGATATCTGTGGAACCAAAGACCCCACCTTACACCAGCTGCTGCTGGACACACGCTTTGAACTGCCGCTGGGTGAGTGAGAGAGAGAGGGAATCAATGAAAGAATTAACAAACTAACGGATGGATGGATGGATGGATGGATGGATGAATGGATGGACAACTGAACAAACAAGGAAATGAATTAATGAATGGACAGACGAACAATTTAATGAATGAAGTAATGAATATACTTAATTGACTGCAATTTATACCCCAAAAACGACTTGAAATACAGCAATGTGTCTAATCATATGTGTACACATGTCCACAATCCACATACACAGGCATGCCACAGAATCATCTTACAGTAAACATAATCACACCTAAACATGCATTCTGATATTTAACTGGGTAAGGGTCCGTTTCCCAAAAACATAAAGATTATTTTCAGCACTAAAATCATCTTAAGTCCATTTGTAGGCAATGAATGGACAATAATCATAATATGTACTTTATGTTTTTGGGAAACTCACCCTTAACCAGTTTTATTAGATTCCATGTGTCCCCATAGAAACACACTGATTGGCTGCTTGTGTCTTTCCCTTTAACTTCATGCTGTGTTCTCCTAGCATTGATTAGGTGTCGTTTTACACTGCCTCCCGTCCCCTGGTCAATACTGGTGATCTGACCCTGTCTGTCTGTCTGACTGAGCACCAGTCAAGTGGGGTTCTGGCTGAAAAGTCACACTCAATGTCATTGGCAAGAATAGTTTTGAGGGGAATGGGTGTGATAGGCTAACTACTAATCATCTATTAGTGTATAAAAGCTATCCAAGTGAAAGCTTGGTGGAAAGCTTAATGGTAACTGCTAGCTGTGTGTGTGTGTGTGTGTGTGTGTGTGTGTGTGTGTGTGTGTGTGTGTGTGTGTGTGTGTGTGTGTGTGTGTGTGTGTGTGTGTGTGTGTGTGTGTGTGTGTGTATGTGTGTGTGTGTGTGTGTGTGAACGAGATTCTAAACATCTTAGCGGCATTACAGATGTGTGTCGCGAGGGGACATGCCTATGTGTGTGTGTGCTGGTCAGCTGTGTGAATATATATATATTTGTTTTCAGATATCCCTGAGGAGGAGGCACGCTATTGGGCCAAAAAACTGGAGCAACTCAACGCCATGAGAGATCAGGACGTAAGCTGTTGTCGAACACATATTTATGGATCACCCTCTATTATACAGTAGACTGAGTTTTCCCACTCTCTTTACGTATTTTCACTTTATTGAGACAGATTTAAAATGACAGAGGATACAGGCATGTGGGACAAATAGCTTGAAGAGTTGGAACAGGGATTGAACCCAGGTCTCCGGTGGGAGAGGAGTACATGTGGTTAGAGTTGGGAAGCATTACTGGTACACCTCGGGCTCTGCACAGTAGAATGACTTATGTGTTTAATGGAAGCCTCTCCAACATAATCCAGGTAGAATCAGGAATTCCCCAGGGCAGCTGTCTAGGCCCATTACTTTTTTCAATCTTTACTAATGACATGCCACTGGCTTTGAGTAAAGCCAGAGTGTCTATGTATGCAGATGACAACACTATACATGTCAGCTGCTACAGTGACTGAAATGACTGCAACACTTAACAAAGAGTTGCAGTTAGTTTCAGAGTGGGTGGCAAGGAATAAGTTAGTCCTAAATATTTATAAAACTAAACGCATTGTATTTGGGACAAATCATTCACTAAACCCTAAACCTCAGCTAAATCTTGTAATAAATAATGTGGAAATTGAGCAAGTTGAGGTGACTAAACTGCTTGGAGTAACCCTGGATTGTAAACTGTCATGGTCAAAACATATTGATACAACAGAAGCTAAGATGGGGAGAAATCTGTCCATAATAAAGCGCTGCTCTACCTTCTTAACAGCACTATCAACATGGCAGGTCCCACAGGCCCTAGTTTTGTCACACCTGGACTACTGTTCAGTCGAGTGGTCAGGTGCCACAAAAAAGGACTTAGGAAATTTGCAATTGGCTCAGAACAGGGCAGCACGGCTAGCCCTTGGATGTACACAGAGAGCTAATATTAAAAATATGTGACTTCACTACTTGTATTTATGAGAGGTATTGACATGTTGAATGCACCGAGCTGTCTGTTTGAACTACTGGCGCCCATGCATACTCCACAAGACATGCCACCAGAGGTCTCTTCACAGTCCCCAAGTCCAGAACAGACTATGGGAGGCGCACAATACTACATAGAGCCATGACTACATGGAACTCTATTCCACATCAAGTAACTGATGCAAGTAGTAAAATGAGATTTAAAAAACAGATAAAAAAACACCTTATTGAACAGCGGGGACTGTGAAGCAACACAAACATAGGCACAGACACATGCATACACACACATGATAACATACCCACCATACACACACGTACACATGGATTTTGTACTGTAGATATGTGGTAGTGGTGGAGTAGGGGCCTGAGGGCACACAGTGTGTTGTGAAATCTGTGAATGTATTGTAATGTTTTTAAAATTGTATGAACTGCCTTAATTTTTGCTGGACCCCAGGAATGGGGATCCATAATAAATACAAATACAAATGTGTATGTATTTCAGATAACTAACCAGTACTCATACCAAGAAGACCAGGAGCGACCACTTCCTGTCCCAGTGACACAGTGCTGTGAGTAATCCACCAATCACTGGGCTTGTCTGATAGACATGTGTTAGGGATTAACCAATGAGAGTCAACTATTTGATATCGCCCTGTCAGTTCAGTGAGAGGTATTTGGATTGCACAAGAGTTTGTTTATGTGTGTGTTTGTGCGCGTGCGTGCATGCCTATTTCCTGTGTGTGTTTGTGTGTGTTTGCATGTCAGTGTGTATCCACATTGATAAAGTGAAACATCAATATGAGTATCAGATATACAGAGGCACTGGATGCAGAGTTTCTGGTGGTGTCAGAATTTACTGGGCGTGCTGACACAGCTCTCAGGGAGAGGAGGCAGACACTGGGGCTATGGCTCTTCCTGTCTGCCTATGACCCATCTCACAGACAGACAAGCCCCACTGAGTCTTCCTGCGTACACACACACACACACACACACATACATGCACACAAACACACACAGAGAGCTCAGCAAACTAGCCTCCATGTAGGCACCAAAATATTCCATAACAATAACAATGCATGGCACTCTTTACCCAAAAGTTCCCTTGCAGCACATACAATATCAGTAGTAAGACACACAGTGTAAACCCGGGATCCCCAATAGGCGGCCTATCATTTTAGTTCTTGGACATAAGACTGTAGAATCACCAGGAAATGAGCTCAAATTGACTTTAATTTAGGAAAGCTGTTCCCAAGTATTCCCACTCATAAATACAGTTGCATATGTGATCTTATCCCAATGTAATCAAGGTTAGAAATTATTCTGTTTTTGTCAAATACTATATCTGTTTGGGATTCTTGCGGTCAATTTGCATTGTACAAATTATTTATAACTATGTTCCCGCCCCCCCGACCATCTGCTCAAGGAAAATTCAGCCCACGGCTAAATGTAATTGGGGACCCCTGGTGTAAACAGTTCAATTAAAGTGTTCTGAAACCCATGAAATGACGTTGATATTGTCATATTCCTAATGTTTCGTAATTAAGATAGAATCCTTCTCAAAACGTTCTGTTTCTTTGTAGGTAACTGGAGTCTGTGGGGAGACCAACAAAGTGAGTACCCTCAAAGGGAAATTTCAAAAAATGTCAACTTCATATTCATCATCTCCAGCACCACTCCAACATCAACATATGTGAAAATGGCGCATCAACCAATTAGTAGGCAATGCCTACTCACAATTGGTCAAAATCACACGATGCACACCAACAATATCATTGCAAACGCTTATCTTCCTCTATCTTTTTTACTACAAAACAAAAACGCACCATTTTCACATACAGTATGTTGATGTTGGGGTGGTGCTGAAGAGGATGAATATGAAGTTGACAAATTGTGAAGTCTCCCTTTATCACACCCTCTGTCTCTATTACTCTCTCTTGCTCATCTAGCTGATGCTCTTATATAAGCATGGTTCCTCCATCAGAATCCCACTCACCCCTGCAGTGTTGCTAATCCACCTCCATTCACTTCCTGGAGTGTAGTAGAGGGAGTGGGAGGGAAGGAGCGTTGGGAGGGAGGGAGCGCCACATGGGATTATGAAGGAAAGAGAACTGCTATCCTGATTACCGTTGCTGCATAACTAAAATACCATATTGCACAACTCCTCCAGAATAACCTCCAACCCACTCTCTTGTGTGGGAAAAGATAAGTATGCCTCTTCTGTTTATACAGCAAGACGAGATGGATTAAAAACGCTCTAGAGATAGGTGTTATGGCTCTAGCAGGCTTTGTCAGGGTTTTGAACAATTATTATTATTATTATTATTATTATTAATGATGAATAGATTAAGGTTTGCACTGAGGGTGATTTGGTTCTGCTCAACTCCCCTACCCCATCCCACTGGGACCCTATAGTCTCTGATCTATGGCAGCGTATAACCCCATTTTACACCTAGAAATTGAGATTATAGAATGTAAATGATGTGGAGTAGAGAGTCGTGACGGAACTAGATTATTATTTATATGATGGCACTCTGGGTGACCTGGAGAGATGAGCTCAATGGGAGTTCTATGGTTGGTGTTAAGATGGTCCACATTAGCTGGGATAGCCACTGTGAATGAGTGGGCACTGTGAATGAGTGGGCACTGTGATTGAGTGGTTTTGATCATGATTCTGCAGCATTAAAAAAATATATTACTCTGTGGGACAATAAAGTAATGAAGTTCTCTACAGTGAGGGAAAAAATTATTTGATCCCCTGCTGATTTTGTACGTTTGCCCACTGACAAAGATATGATCAGTCTATAATTTTAATGGTAGGTTTCTTTGAACAGTGAGAGCCAGAATAACAACAAAAAAATCCAGAAAAACGCATGTCAAAAATGTTATAAATTGATTTGCATTTTAATGAGGGAAATAAGTATTTGACCCTTCTGCAAACATGACTTAGTAGTTGGTGGCAAAACCCTTGCAGGCAATCACAGAGGTCAGACGTTTCTTGTAGTTGGCCACCAGGTTTGGACACATCTCAGGAGGGATTTTGTCCCACTCCTCTTTGCAGATCTTCTCCAAGTCATTAAGGTTTCGAGCCTGACGTTTGGCAACTCGAACCTTCAGCTCCCTCCACAGATTTTCTATGGGATTAAGGTCTGGAGACTGGCTTTGTAATTCTTTGGAGCGGGCCACCTAAGCATTTTTTCGGGTCGCCTAAGTCCAAACAGTGTAAAAAAAATAGATATATTTTCGGGATGGAAAAACGCTTTCACTGTAAACTTAAACGACTAAAACCAGATATAAAGTATGTAGAAAAGATCATGGAGATTTTTATATTTTTTTTATAATATAATCTTTGAGAACTAGCAATCACCAAATAAAAGCTAGACAGTCAGGGAGAATTGAAATTCCCAAAACAATGAATTTAGCAGTATTGAGTTTGAGCAAAAGAACACAGCATTAGCCATGTCAAAATGTCATAGAAAAAGTGCAACATTTTCTCTCAGCTCCATGGCAAAATGTGTAAATTGCAAGAAATTTGCTTTAAAATGCAACAACAAAAATGATCTACAATTTAGCCGACGGGCCGACCATGACCATTGCCACACCCCCTGCCGTGCCCACCACCTAAACCCCTTTTTGATCTTATTCTGACAAACTGCACAAGAACTTGTCAAATGGTGTCTTTGCTAATGCAATTAGTGATCACTGTCCTATTGCCTGTATTAGAGATACAAAGCAGAAAAACACTGATCCTCGTGTAATTATGAAAATGCATTTGAAAATGGTCTCTCCCCAAGGGTAGAGTATTGCTCTGAGCTTTCCTTTGTCAGTTGCATACCTGAGCCTGAATTAGCCTTGGAAGTCTTATCATATGCAACTATAAGATGCGATATGCAACTTTTCAGGGAAGTCAGGAACCAATATACACAATCAGTTAGGAAAGCAAAGGCTAGCTTTTTCAAACAGAAATTTTCATCCTGTGGCACTAACTCCAAAACGTTGTGGGACACTGTAAAGTCCATGGAGAGTAAAAACACCTCCTCCCAGCTACCCACTGCACTGAGGCTAGGAAACACTGTCACCACCGATAAATCTACGATAATCGAGAATTTCAATAAGCATTTTGCTACGGCTGGCCATGCTTTCCACCTGGCTACCCCTACCCCGGCCACCTGCTCTGCACCCTCCGCTGCAACTTGCCCATGCCCCCCCGCTGAAAGAGCTGCAAAATCTGGACCCCTACAAATCAGCTGGGCTAGACAATCTGGACCCTTTCTTTCTAAAATTAGCCGCCAAAATTGTTGCAACCCCTATTACTAGCCTGTTCAACCTCTCTCTTTCGTATCGTCTGAGATCCCCAGAGATTGGAAAGCTGCTGCGGTCATCCCCCTCTTCAAAGGGGGTGACACTCTAGATCCAAACTGTTACAAACCTATATCCATCCTACCCTGCCTTTCGAAAGTATTTGAAAGCCAAGTTAACAAACAGATCACCGACCACTTCGAATCCCACCGTACCTTCTCCGCTATGCAATCTGGTTTCCGAGCTAGTCATGGGTGCACCTCAGCCACGCTCAAGGTCCTAAACGATATAATAACCGCGATTGATAAAAGACAGTACTGTGCAGCCTTCTTCATCGACCTGGCCAAGGCTTTTGACTCTGTCAATCACTGCATTCTTATTGGCAGACTAAATAGCCTTGGTTTCTCAACTGAATGCCTCGCCTGGTTCACCAACTACTTTTCTGATAGAGTTCAATGTGTAAAATCGGAGGGCCTGTTGTCTGGACCTCTGGCAGTCTCTATGGGGGTGCCACAGGGTTCAATTCTCGGGCTGACTCTATTCTCTGTGTATATCAATGATGTCGCTCTTGCTGCTGGTGACTCTCAGATCCACCTCTACGCAGACGACACAATTTTTTATACATCTGGCCCTTCATTGGACACTGTGTTAACAAACCTCCAAACGAGCTTCAATGCCATACAACACCCCTTCCGTGGCCTCCAACTGCTCTTAAACGCTAGTAAAACTAAATGCATGCTCTTCAATCGAACGCTGCTTGCACCCGCCCGCCCGACTAGAATCACTACTCTCGGCGGGTCTGACTTAGAATATGTGGATAACTACAAATACCTAGGTGTCTGGTTAGACTGTAGACTCTCCTTCCAGACTCACATTAAGCATCTCCAATCCAAAGTTACATCTAGAATCGGCTTCCTGTTTCGCAACAAAGCCTCCTTCACTCATGCTGCTAAACATGCCCTCGTAAAACTGACTATACTACCGATCCTTGACTTCAGCGATGTCATTTACAAAATAGCTTCCAACACTCTACTCAGCAAATTGGATGTAGTCTATCACAGTGCCATCCGTTTTGTCACCAAAGCCCCATATACTACCCACCATTGTGACCTGTACGCTCTCGTTGGCTGGCCCTCACTACATATTCGTCGCCAAACCCACTGGCTCCAGGTCATCTATAAATCACTTCTAGGCAAATCCCCGCCTTATCTTAGCTCACTGGTCACCATAGCAACACCCACCCGTAGTATGCGCTCCAGCAGGTATATCTCACTGGTCATCCCCAAAGCCAACACCTCCTTTGGCCGCCATTCCTTCCAGTTCTCTGCTGCAAATGACTGGAACGAACTACAAAAATCTCTGAAGCTGGAGACACTTATCTCCCTCATTAACTTTAAGCATCAGTTGTCAGAGCAGCTTACTGATCACTGTACCTGTACACAGCCCATCTGTAATTAGCCCACCCAACTACCTCATCCCCATATTGTTATTTACATTGTTATTTATTTTGCTCATTTGCACCCCAGTATCTCTATTTGCACATCATCTTCTGCACATCTATCACTCCAGTGTTAATACTAAATTGTAATTATTTTGCACTATGGCCTATTTATTGCCTTACCTCCATAACTTACTACATTTGCGCACACTGTATATAGATGTTCTATTGTCGATTGTGTTATTGAATGTAGGTTTTTGTTTATCCCATGTGTAACTCTGTGTTGTTGTTGTTTTTATCGCACTGCTTTGCTTTATCTTGGCCAGGTCGCAGTTGTAAATGAGAACTTGTTCTCAACTGGCTTACCTGGTTAAATAAAGGTGAACTAAATAAATAAATAAATAAATGTATCTTTGTCTCTCTGGCGGACTGACATGCCCCCCTTTAAACGCCTTAGAGTTAAAAAGGAATAAATCATTTGTTCTCTTCAGAGCTTTCTGACCTTATTATAATGAGAAATCAATCCTGGGCTAGAAAAACTGACTCGATAGCTGATTGTCAGCTTTTCAGGCAAATGAGAAATAGATGCACTTCCTCAATTAAGAAGGCTAAATCAAGCTACTTTCTAAATTCTATTTCAGACTCTGCTAATGATGCAGCTACATTTAGGAAAATAGTTAATGCACTGAAGCGTGGAAATTCCACCCATTTCCTGCCTAAGCACGTTCTGTCTGACACTGGCATCATTACTGAACAATGTTAGATACGTGATACAGTTAATTAGCATTTTATCTCTGGAGGCTTCTTATGTGAAAGAAATAGTGGTTTAACTGACCCTTTAGTTAGTTTAGTTTAGTCAGACCACTGGTCTGGAAAGTGGCCCATGTTCTCCCCCTTTACAAAGGTGGTGACCCTTGTGACCTTAATAATTATCATCCTATTTCTAAACTTTCTTGCCTAGATAACATGTTTGAATTCTTGATTAATGCTCAGCTAAGATACAGTATTTCTTAACTTCCAAATCTATTCTAAATGTACATCAGGAGAACTTCAGACCAGGGCATAGCACCATCTCGGCAGAATCACTGGTTTTAAATGATGTGGTACATTTTTTCACTAGGAAGAAACACTGTGCTGCTGTATTCATTGACTTGTATAAAGCATTCATAACTGTCGTCCACTCTTTACTAATTCAAAGGTTGTCTGAAATTGCCCTGAATCAGGCTTAATGTAATTGGATTAAACACTACAAGACAGACAGGACACTGTGTATTTTTTGATGGTGTTAAGTCGAGTTTCCTTGATATTACGAAAGGTATCCCACAGGTGTGTATTTTAGGTCCTGTACTTTTTACTGTCAATATAAATAATATTGGTCTATCTGCAAAAAGAAAAATAACATACACCTATATGTAGATGACACTGTAAGGTTGACCAGGCTTTTTTGGCGCTGCAATCTGCCTTTGTTGCTTTGCAGAAAGCCATTGTTGAAGTGCAATTGGTACTTAATGCAGGTAAAACAAAGTACATGATGTTTTCAAATTCACTTAAAAATGTATCTGAGGATTTACGCATATGTACATTGGATGGTGCCCACATTGATCGTGTCCTTATAAATATCTGGGCATCTGGATTGATGAAAGGTTATCTTTTAAAAAGCATATGGATGAGTTAGTTAAGCAGTGGAGAATAAAAATAGGCTTCTTCTTTAGAAATAGATCATGCCTCTCCCTGAACAGCAGAAATCAGATAATTCAGTCAACTTTCCAAACAGTGCTAGACTACGGTGACACAATATATATGAATGCAGCTGCCACTACACTGAAACCAGTAGATGCAGTTTACCACAGCGCACTTTTATACACTGCTCTCTTTTTGTTTATAAAACCCTCTTGCATAAACTTCCGCCATACCTTCATTTTTAAATGACAGACATATGAGTTACCAGAACACAGGGATGGCTAACTCTAGAGGTCCCGTTGATCTCTACGAAATTAGGTAAATCTGCATTCTGTTTTTTTGTGCCCCATGTATGGAATGATCTGCAGATCTCTCTGCACCTTGATGCTCTGTTACCTCTAGGCCAGTTGAAGTTGTTGATGGAGAACATATGTCTTGAGGAAGGTGATTGCTTACATTTCTTGTAAATATTGGATGTTTTTATTTTTAAAAAATTGTAAATGTTGTATAATTTATGTACATGCAGGGCTCCCTTGCAAAAGAGGCCTTGGTCTAAATGGGATTTCCCTGTTAAAATAAATGTTAAATAAATACAAACTGGCAGTGTAACCGGGCAAGATTTAGTCAGATTCCTGTGTGAACAGGTTCCAATGTTTTAAAATGTGAACACAACAGACATCATCTGAACCAGTCCAAATGAGATGAGTCTAGACTATCTGTGTGAACGACAGTCCCAAATCTCCACAATGTAAATGTAGCTTTAGTCTCACCCACTCTCTCCTATACCCATTCTCTCAAGAGTGACAGCTTCACTTTCACTTTCAGGTCTAAGTTAGTCCCTGAGAGGGAGAGAATAGAAAGAGTCAGTGTTGCAGACCTCCACACTGTTCATTGACCAGCTATTCTCAATAGTCTGGTTCCTCTCAAGGTTTCTTCCTGCCCCAAGGGAGTTGTCCCTCCATCCCGTGTCACTGTTCCTCGAGGATAACCAGGGCCCTGATTAATTTAATGATCATTTATTGAATGTGTTCCCCTCCCCTCCCCCCCACTCCCCTCCCCTCCAGATGAGGACCCAGACAGTGCTGTGGATGACAGAGACAGTGACTATCGCAGTGAGACCAGTAACGGCATCCCTCCACCCTACTACACCACGTCCCAGCCCAACGCCTCCGTCCACCAGTACCCCATCAGAGACCAACAGAACCGCCCCTCCTTCTACCCCCCCTCCAACAGCTGTGACCCCCTCGACTACCACCAGAGGGCCATTAGGTGGGTGTTGTCCTACTCCCGTCTATTTGTTTGCTGCCTGATCTCCTGCTTCAGCTCAGTGCTTGCCTTGTAGGCCTGTTCCCCTTTGGCTGAGGAAAAGACACACTCCCCTGCCTGGGTTCCCTGACTGGGTTCCCTGACTGGGTTCCCTGGCCTGTCCCTCTCTCGCTGCTTCTTCATGCATTATTCAACAAACAATCTCATGGTCAATAGTGTGTGTGTGTGTGTGTGTGTGTGTGTGTGTGTGTGTGTGTGTGTGTGTGTGTGTGTGTGTGTGTGTCCGAAATGTGGCTTGCCTACTACTTTCCTAAACTAAATAATGTGTACTAATCGTACTACATACTATTTAGAACGTACTGTTTAGGACAAACGTATGCAGTAAGCAACAAATATCAACATACTACTCCATACTGAGAAGGCATCAAATCAAATCAAATTGTATTTGTCACATACACATGTTTAGCAGATGTTATTGCAGGTGTAGCAAAATGCTTGTGTTTCTAGCTCCAACAGTGCAGTATATCTAACAATTCACACAATACACACAACCTAAAAGTAAAATAATGGAATTAAGGAATATAGAAATATTAGAAATATTAGGATGAGCAATGTCGGAGTGGCATAGACTAAAATACAGTAGAATAGAATACAGTATATCCATATGAGATGAGTAAAGCAAAAATATGTAAACATAATTAGTGACTAGTGTTCCATTATTAAAGTGGCCAGTGATTTCAAGTCTATGTATATGGGGCAGCAGCCTCTAAGGTGCAGGGTTACGTAACCGGATGGCCTTGAGATAGAAGCTGTTTTTCAGTCTCTCGATCCCAGCTTTGATGCACCTGTACTGACCTCGCCTTCTGGATGATAGTGGGGTGAACAGGCATTGGCTCGGGTGGTTGATGTCCTTGATGATCTTTTTGGCCTTCCTGTGACATCGGGTGCTGTAGGTGTCCTGGAGGGCAGGCAGTGTGCCCCCAGTAATGCGTTGGGCAGACCGCACCACCCTCTGGAGAGCCATGCGGTTGCGGGCGGTGCAGTTGCCGTACCAGGCGGTGATACAGCCCGAAAGGATGCTCTCAATTGTACATCTGTAAAAGTTTGTTGCGCCTTCTTCACCACACTGTCTGTGTGGGTGGACCATTTCAGATCGTCAGTGATGTGTACGCCGAGGAACTTGAAGCTTTCCACCTGCTCCACAGCGGTCCTGTCAATGTGGATGGGGGCGTGCTCCCTCTGCTGTTTCCTGAAGTCCACGATCATCTCCTTTGTTTTGTCGACATTGAGGGAGAGGTTATTTTCCTGGCACCACACTCCCAGGGCCTTCACCTCCACTCTGTAGGCTGTTTTGTCATTGTTGGTAATCAAGCCTACTACTGTTGTGTCGTCTGCAAACTTGATGATTGAGTTGGAGGCGTGCGTGGCCACGTAGTCATGGGTGAACAGGGAGTACAGGAGGGGGCTGAGCACGCATCCTTGTGGGACCCCTGTGTTGAGGATCAGCGATGTGGATGTGTTGTTTCCTACCATCACCACCTGGGGGCAGCCCGTCAGGAAGTCCAGGACCCAGTTGCACAGGGCGGGGTTCAGACCCAGGGCCCCCGAGCTTAATGATGAGCTTGGAGGGTACTATGGTGTTGAATGCTGAGCTATAGTCAATGAACAGCATTCTTACATAGGTATTCCTCTTGTCCAGATGGGATAGGGCAGTGTGCAGTGCAATGGTGATTGCCTCGTCTGTGGATCTATTGGGGCGGTTAGCAAATTGAAGTGGGTCTAGGGTGTCAGGTAAGGTGATATGATCCTTAACTAGCCTCTCAAAGCACTTCATGATGACAGAAGTGAGTGCCACGGGGCGATAGTCATTTAGTTCAGTTACCTTTGCTTTCTTGGGTATAGGAACAATGGTGGACATCTTGAAGCAAGTGGGGATAGCAGACTGGGACAGGGAGAGATTGAATAAGTCCGTAAACACTCCAGCCAGCTGGTCTGTGCATGCTCTGAGGACACGGCTAGGGATGCCGTCTGGACCGCGTCCCCTATTCTGATTATCAGCTGTTGTCGAACACAAGTGGGTGTGAAATACAATTATCTTCCTCAAGAATGTGCAGCGAATTCCACTAGATGAAAAGCCGAAATGAGTATGACATCATGGCATTTAAAGCATACAACATTTCGAAATGTCACAGAATGTAGTTCACAAAAGTTCAATCAGGAAGGCGGGTCTGAATGCTTGTTTAACTTCATCCAGTTAGCATAACATAATTGACATTGTTTCCTATTCTAAGAGCATAGTGGGTATAAACACAAACGTATCATCATCAGCATAGCGTCTTGTTTCTTCTCCTCTTTCCTGTTAGCCATGTGAGGAACGTCATTCACCTATTTACCTTATAGCCTATAAGCACGGAACAATAATGTACATTCCTCACACTTGCTGTTTAACCTACGGGCTCACTTTTGCAATTATCACATTCCTCTCTCTCAACCAATGGGCGTCAATCTTTGGATGTATTTATATGTCAACTTACCCTTGTTCTCTCACTTGCTGTTTTTCAGCAACAATTCTCGCCAACCATCCACCTCCCCACAACCACCAGCTATAATAACCTTAGGGCCCGTCATTGGAACTCCTTTCCGCCAGCAGGGGGGTTTTGATGCCAGCATCCCCTCATAGTCCCAGTCGGTATTAGATAGAACATCGCGGCCCCACCCTGTGTGGGGAAAACAACCTGTGGTTACCTATGTTACTCCATTGGCTCACAGCAAAATCTTGACCTGTTTCAAACGCCATTTTCGTGTCTGCTCGTTTTAATCAATTACAAAACTACATTCAAGAAAAGTGCATGTCTAAAGATTACTTTTCAACATTGCCTGCTCCCTACCATTCTCACTACTCAGAGAAAACGTAATATTGTAGGGCTTCCCTCATGCCCCTTTTCATGACGTGCTTGCAGCCACGTGAGTGCTAGCTAGCCAAGACCAACCACACAAACAAACGGACTACATAGCTATAGGTAGTGAGTGGAGTTACAAACGGACTACACAAGTAAAATGTCTTACCTGTGATTTTAAATGTTTTCCACACACATAGCTACATGTAGTCTACTTCGACATTGGGTTCCCACATTTCCCACTCTCTCACGGCCAATAGCCTGAAGCCACAGGGCTCTTCTCACTGCCTCCATTTCCCTACGTGGGAGCATTGCGACTTTCGGTCGGGATTTTTTACCTGGTTACATGTACATTGAACAACACAGCAGCTTTTCGGCATGTTTTGTTATTTCTGTATAACAAAACCTTGACAATGAAGTTGGCTCTTTTACATTGGGGGTCAATTGGAAAGAATGTTTGTTTTCCCAAAATTGTGGTCGAGGGAAATTCCTTATTATTACGTGAATATCGACTCGGAGTATAGAGCTACCTGCCATCACATCTGGCTCCAAGGATCTTCCCTCGGAGACGAGGCCATTCCCCAAACAATTTTATAAAATGTCATATTTCATTCCATCTTTGTTGTCCATTCAGTCAAGCCTGTATAAGATTGAACTATAAAACGCTCCATTTTCGGATACCCAAAAAGCCTACTATTTAGAATGCAAGTATGGGTATTCGGACACGGCCAGTGAGTGTGTGAGTGTGTCTGTATCCTTTCCTTTACCTTTCTCTCTTCTCTGCTCACCCCCTCTCCCTCTCTCTCTCTCCCTCTCTCCATTCTTTCTTTAATAGCCTCATTTATCATGGCGTATACTGTACATACTCCTCCTGTGTTTGTTCCCTGTGAGGATGCTTGTTCTTTTTCACTTGTCACCTTTCTGTTCTGCTCTATTTCTTTCTCTCTCTTCTCTCTTCTCTCTCTCTCTCTCTATTTCCCTAATTGTATTTCTCTCTCTGTCTGACACTCTGCTGTCGCCATTAACTCTCATTGATTAACCATCAGTTTTACCTTCACAGTCAGGTGTTTTACTATTGCTCAGGGATGCTCTGGACATTGTCTCTGTCTGTCCCGTCATGTTGGTTACTGCTTCCTATTCTTTTTATCCTTCCCCCTTTCTCTCTTCTCTCTCTCCCCCCATTTATCTTTGTTTCCCTGTCTTGCTCCCCCTTCCTCTCCAGTCCGACGGGAAGCTATGCGTCGTCGGCAGAGTTGAGTCACTGCAGCAGCCAGTTGAGTGAGGAGGAGTACGGCCCGGAATACAGAGAGAGAGACCCTTACGATGAGAATGACTCCTACCACTCCTGCCACTCCTCTGTCAGCTACAGCAAAGGTTCTCCCGACTGGGACCCCGACGAGACCCAGGGGGCGTACAGCGATGGGGGGGACTACAGTAAGGACGGGGGCGAGGAGGGGGCCCTCTATGAGGAGGATGACGGGGGTCTGTATGAGGAAGAGGGAGCGTATGAAGGAAAGGAGGGGCACATATATGACGATGAGGATTACCATCTGGATGGGACCCACAGTGAGGATATGGAGGTCCCCTACACCCCCACCCCCACCAGCACGGCACCCCCCACACTGGACGTCCCAGGTGCTTCTAGACCCCCCCTGGAGAAACAGCCCTCTCTGCATCAACAGCAGGCGCCACCTGGCCAACCGCCCAGCCATGCCCCAAATCAGGCCCACCCTCCAGGCATGGCTCCAGTTGGACAGCCCCCGGGTCAGCCACCCACCCAGGCCCCTCAAGCCCAGTCTCAGCCTCAGCCAGCCCCTGCCCCAGCCCTTGCCCCAGCCCAGTCCTTCTTCTCCATGGCCAAGCCCTTCTCAGCAGCAGTAACAGGCCTGGCCTCCTCTTTCCTGTCATCTGGAGTCCCTACTTCCCAACCTGCCCAGGCTCACCCCCCAGCCTCCCAACCCCAGCCCCAGTCTGCTTCCTCCATCCCCCCATCTCACCCCGCCATTGCCACCCCTCCCCCCCATGGGCCCCAGTCCACAACCACTGGCCCCCCCTCTCAGCCGACCCCCTTCACTGCCTCTGCCTCTCAGGCCCAGCCCCCTGCCCCTACAACCACCCAATCAGAGGGCCCTGATGCCAAACCCCCCCTGCCAGCGGACCAACTCCTCCTAGAGGAAGATAAACCCCTTCCCCCAAAAAATTAGGACCCCCACCCCGACAGAGGAGAAACACCCCATGGAAGATGAGGACCAACAGTATGACGAGAGTTGCCCCCCCACCCCCGTAGAGGAGGAGGAGGAGCCCCTCCCTGAGAGGTAAACCCCCCTCCCAAATCTCAAATCTTCAAGCTTTTCTGTTATACAGGCGCAACAGGGGCTTTGTTTATTGGGCCACCATATTGGGTGGACTGTGAAAAAGCACATGGGGGTGCGTCTGAAATGACCTCCTTATTTCCCTTTCAGTGCACCAAGTATCTTGATTCATCCCAGAGAACCCCCCCCCCCCCCTTCCTTCCCCCTTAAAAACACATTTGAAGAAACGTGCCTTTCCTGCAATAACACTTGCACTTGTCTTTTCTTACTAGCACTGACTGCTGATAGCTGCTTTATTGAGGATAGAATGTACTTACTATGACTGTGATATGTTGCTGTCTCACCTAACTACACTACATAACCAAAAGTATGTGGACACCTGCTTGTCGAACATCTCATTCCAAAATCATGGCCGTTAATATAGAGTTGGTCCCCCCTTCGCTGCTATAACAGCCTCCACTCTTCTGGGAAGGCTTTCCACTAGATGTTGGAACATTGGAAACCCATTTTATGAAGCTCCCGACGAACAGTTCTTGTGCTGACGATGCTTCCAGAGGCAGTTTGGAACTAGGTAGTGAGTGTTGCAACTGAGGACAGACAATTTTTATGCGCTACGCGCTTCAACACTCGGCAGTCCCGTTCTGTGAGCTTATGTGGCCTACCACTTCGCCGCTGAGCCATTGTTACTCCTAGATGTTTCCACTTCACAATAACAGCACTTACAGTTGACTGGGGCAGCTCTAGCAGGGCAGAAATTTGACGAACTGACTTGTTGGAAAGGTGCCATCCTATGACTGTGCCATAGTGAAAATCACTGAGCTCTTCAGTAAGGCCATTCTACTGCCAATGTTTGTCTATAGAGATTGCATGGCTGTGTGCTCGGTTGTATACACCTGTCAGCAACGGGTGTGGCTGAAATAGCCGAATCCACTAATTTGAAGGGGTGTCCACATACTTTTGTATATATAGTGTACCTTAAGATGAATGCACTAACTGTAAGTCGCTCTGGATAAGAGCATCTACTAAATGACTAAAATGTAGAAAAATGTACAAATGTTCAAAAGTAGTGCACTATATAGGGGGCCATTTCAGCCCCAGATATGGAGTTGTTCTCAGACCTGCTCTCTTCCTTGTAGTCCTCCAGTAGATGAGGAGCCCAAGGAGCCGGTGGACCCGTCCGTGAGGGCTAGGGAGAACTGGCTACGAATCATCGACAAGGTCCAACAGCAGCTTCGAGAGGTAAGGTATCACACTCAAACCTTGTTCCCATGTCCCAGTCCTATACTACTGGCCCTACGCCTGATCCAGCGCCAGACATATCCACATCCCTAAGCCTAACCTTAACTTCAACCCCAGTCCTATCCCCGATCCTCTTGTCCTATCCCCCAGCCCCATCCCCTAACCCTTGCCTAACACGCCAGCCCTAAATTCCGCCCCGGACCTATGTAGTCTAGCCACCCAGTCCTACCAGCCTTGTTTCCAGCCCCTGCCCTGCACCCCAGTCCCATCCATAGTGCTTTATCCAGGTTTGGAGAAGAAGAGAGGGGTAAGTAGTAGAAACATTTTAAAAGTGTCTAAGTACTTTCTGCACAGCTTTGAAAAATGCATGTGATATGCATTATTTACTCCCAAAGCTAGAGTGAATGGGTTCCTGAGACTATTTTTTAAAGTACATACAATCAATATTTTAAATGATCTGAAAATACATTTTCTATAGATGGTGGTGCACATTTTCCCTTAGTATGGAAAATAACTCACTCAACTCTGTCTTTAAGTCTCACGGAACTGCTAAAACAATTGATTTGAACGTTCAGCTTGGCTTGATTGATTTATCAGTTTGCTCACATTTATTCACATCATTTTGCTAATCATTCTTTTTTAATTGAATGAATAAACACTTGCTTGGATGTTTGTGGGTTTTGTCACTTTGCTTTTTTCCTCCTGTGTTTTGTTGATTTCCCTTTTCACCCCATTTTTGTTTGTCCCACTACTTTTTCTTTCCAGTTTCATGTCATTGCCATAGCGATACTCACATGCACTCTGGTCGGCCATGATTGGAGCAGATTGACAGGTGGGTACAATGATTGGTTGCTGAAGAGAATGGTGGACTTGTTGGCCAATGATTTTTCAGTAATGTCCTGCAGTGCACACATTCATTTGACCTTTTCCATTTTACTTCATAACAACTATGCTGTATTATCTTATACAATGTTTAATTGTTTGAGTTTCATGGTTTGGATACTTTGCATATTCATTATTATGATTTTATAACTATAACAATCTTTCAGCCAAGCTCGTAGGAGTTAACTACCGTCAGGTGAAATCGGCAAGAAACTTTTCCATCAATACCTTTGCAGTGTTGCTTGCAAAATCAATCATTAACATTAGATTTTTTATACCTGTTTATATTTTTACCCAGTATGCAGTTGGAATTAATTTTCCTTTCAGTATTTCTTCATTATATTTTTCTTCAAATCTGTGGGTTTAAGAAGGCTTTAAATAAAACCAGACAAACAGCGTTAGGATGTGGCAGAATCCCAAGGTTGAATGAGTCAAAACTCTCTCTTTCTCTATTATGGTATTTCTCTGACCCTGAGCTGGAGGATGGGAGTCTGAATGTGTGACGAGGGCCATAGCTAGCGCGAGATAAAAGTACATGTGATTGCTGTGACGGTCTATTCAGTTAAAGCTGGTAAATCTATTTTTGGACTTTTGAATTAGTGATATATAGCCATTGATCCTTGAAGAATATGTGTGTGTTTTTTTCAGAATCATAGACTGTAGCTTTAATATTAGATATAGGCCTATTGCAGAGCTGCTCAATTCCAGGCCTTAAGGGACAAAGAAAGGCTGGTTTTCTTTTCTCCCTTGTGGTTGACTGATCAATTCATGTCATTGGTTGGCCAGAGAGTTCACTCACCTGGAGTTCTGAGTTCTGAATGGGTTCTTTAGTAGAAGGTCTCTATAGAAGTGATTTCACAGTTTACTAGCTCTAATTTATCTCTATGACAGAAGGAATGAGCTGGAGAGGGTGGGAGAGAGAAAGAGAGGAGGATAGAGAGAAAGATGAAAAGAGATTGAGATAGAGGAGGATGAATAGATAGTGCAGCTTTAAGAATGTTGTCTGAGGTAGTCATCAGTGGTGGAAATGGTCTTGATTTCCTTGTTTGGGGGCTCGGGGGCATCCTCCCCCACAAAAAATCAAATTTACCAGCTAAATGCTGCACTCTTGTGCACTCTAGATGCTCTGCATATGGATGAAATTGATTTCAAACGTTTAGTGAAAGATACTCATCACCCAGACGTAACTGTACTCTTCCCACCCTCCTCCTCCCTGTCTTCTTTCTCTCTCCCTCTTCCCCCTCTCTCTCCAGGCACGAGGAGAGCCGTCCAATTCCTTGTGGTTTGGTAAAGGAGGGTGAGTTACCCATCACTGCTCACAACAAAAGATCACATACAGTAACTACCATTCTACCACGGCACCTCAGTGCAGTTACCACAATGAGATTTGCATTTACAGTAAATGCTATACTAACTAGCGTAGTACAACAATCAATCACTAAATGATTGCCACTACTGTAAATATGTAATACTGTAAAGTGTACACTTTCAGATTTAAAATAGAGGATAGTGTTTCATCCACTGGCTCCAGTCCTCTCAAGGGCTTTATGAATAGAATTGGAGAGGAGAATTATTAGATTAGACATACATTATTGTCCAGATTTTAAAAGTAAATAGCAATAAAAAAAAAACATCTGGAGCACCTTGTCATCATCATTTCACTTCAACAAAATAGTCTAAACTTACCCGTAGCAGCGGATAAATGTCTGAGAGGGATACAGTATATTTGTTGGCTGGTATGTAACAGTAAGGTTGTTTTACCTGCTCAGGGTAGGAGAGGTTCTGTACAGCATCGACAGCATGCCTGACCTACGCAAGAAGAAAGGTCCAACCCTGGTCAGAGACCTCGTAAGAGACCACACACAAACACACACAAACACACACACACACACACACACACACACACACACACCACAGCAACCGTACCTTGGCCCATGCCACCCCCTCCGCCTCCCCCTTTCGGAATCATTACTGCCATTATTGGCCTTTCTGTCTGTTCAGTTTCCTCTGCAGCACTCTGGGGACCTAGCTCCCTCCCACAGACATCACACCCGCTCCCTCTTTAGCCAGCCTTATGTCCTGGGAAACTGTGAAACCATGACACGAAATGAGGGATTACCATTTTGCAGTGGATGGTGTGACAGGAAGTCTATAGCCATGACTCTAACTGTGGCATCCTCTGTCTGAGTCATATATTTGAATTGCTGTCAGGCAGCGAATAAGACGCCTATGTACGTAAAAGGAGGGAGAGGGCAGAATATATTACAAGCTAAAAGCTGTTTAACACGCACACAAAACAGGCACACACACGCACACACACTCATTTACATACACACCCTCTGCCCCCTTCCCCTTTCTTATACATCGTATATAAACATCTATAACATGCCACTCAATGAGACATGAGTATAAATCAATATGCTATATACAATTCTGGTATGGTGCTTGTTTACTAACATATGTTCCCTCACCCCCTTCCCTTGTCTCTCTACATCTGTCATGCAGTTACAGGCCATGGTGAGTACCTGTACCAGTCTGCTGGTGTACTACCAACAACCCTTGAAACTCTCTTGTAATCATAATAGCCATACTTTAATTACACTATATATACAAAAGTATTTGGACACCCCTTCAAATTAGTGGATTTGGCTATTTCAGCCACACCCGTTGCTGACAGGTGTATAAAATCGAGCACACAGCCATGCAATGATAATAATATGCCATTTAGCAGACGCTTTTATCCAAAACGACTTACAGTCATGTGCGCAAACATTTTTACGTATGGGTGGTCCCGGGGATCGAACCCACTACCCTGGCGTTACAAGCACCATGCTCTACCAATTGAGCTACAGAGGACCACGATCTCTATAGACAAACATTGGCAGTGGAATGGCCTTACTGAAGAGCTCAGTGACTTTCAAAGTGGCATCATCATAGGATACCACCTTTCAAACAAGTAAGTTCATCAAATTTCTGCCCTGCTAGAGCTGCCGCAGTCAACTATAAGTGCTGTTATTGTGAAGTGGAAACGTCTAGGAGCAACAACGGCTCAGCCGCGAAGTGGTAGGCCACACAAGGTCACAGAACGGGACCGCCAATTGCTGAAGCACATAGCGTGTAAAAAGCAACGTCAGCACAATAACTGTTCGTCGGGAGCTTCATGAAATGGGTTTCCATGGCCAAGCAGCCGCACACAAGCATAAGATCACCATGCGCAATGCCAAGCGTCGGTTGGAGTGGTGTAAACTCGCCGCCATTGGACTCTGGAGCAGTGGAAACGCGTTCTCTGGAGTGATGAATCACGCTTCACCATCTGGCAGTCCGACGGACGAATCTGGGTTTGGCGGCTGCCAGGAGAACGCTACCTGCCCGAATGCATAGTGCCAACTGTAAAGTTTGGTGGAGGAGGAATAATGGTCTGGGGCTGTTTTTCATGGCACGGGCTAGGCGCCTTAGTTCCAGTGAAGGGAAATCTTAGCGCTACAGCATACAATGACATTCTAGACGATTCTGTGTTTCCAACTTTGTTTCAACAGTTTGGGGAACGCCCTTTCCTGTTTCAGCATGACAATGCCCTGTGTACAAAGCGAGGTCCATACATAAATGGTTTGTCGAGATCGGTGTGGAGGAACTTGACTGGCCTGCACAGAGCCTTGACCTCAACCCCATCGAACAGCTTTGGGATGAATTGGACGCTGACTGCGAGCCAAGCCTAATCGCCCAACATCAGTGCCCAACCTCGCTAATGCTCTTGTGGCTGAATGGAAGCAATGTTCCAACATCTAGTGGAAAGCCTTCCCAGAAGAGTTGAGGCAGTTATAGCAGCAAAGGGTGGGACCAACTCCATATTAATGCCCATGATTTTGGAATGAGATGTTCGATGAGCAGGTGTCCACATACTTTTGGTCATGTAGTGTACCAAGGCTCATATTCATTTATAATTGACTCTGTCTCTCCCTCCCTTTCTCTGTCTCTCTCCTCTCTCCTCTCTCCTCTCTCCTCTCTTTCTCTCTTTCTCTTTCTCACTCTCTGTCTCTGTCTCTGTCTCTGTCTCTGTCTCTGTCTCTGTCTCTGTCTCTGTCTCTGTCTGTCTCTCCAGTCTATGGCCTCTCAGAACGCTCGGAAGGCTGGGATCACCACGGCGATGGCCTGCAGCACCCTCGGCAATGAGGACCTGGTGGGTCACACGACTTATGACCTCAGCGTGTCTCGGCACAGCTATAAATATCCATTCAGTTTCAGTCTAATTTCAATCAACTTTATTGTTATCATCCCCAAGGGGCAATTTTCACCGGTGGAACATAACACTTCGAAAAGAAAATGTAGCCGACCACACTTTTTATTGCTGAAATGCAGTTGATTTATTAAACAACCAAGGTTTTTGGCAGCTAGCTGCCTTCATCAGGTAGTGTGCATATATAATTAATACCATATTCCTCCCTCTGCCTCTCTCTCTCTCTGCCTCTCTCTCTCTTTCTGCCTCTTTCTCTCTATCTCTCTCTCTGCCTCCCCCTCTCTCTCTGCCTCTCTCTCTCCCTGCCGGCTCTCTCTGCCTCTCTCTCTCTCTGCCTCTCTCTCTGCCTCTCTCTCTCTGCCTCTGTCTCTCTCTGCCTCTCTCTCTCTCTCTCTCTCTCTGCCTCTCTCTCTCTGCCTCTCTCTTTCTCGCTCTCTCTTGCTCTCTCTCTCCCCCCCTCCCCTTCCATCCGTTCTGCAGAAGATTCATGTGTACAAGAAGACCCTACAGGCTCTGATCTACCCCATCTCCTGCACCACGCCCCATAACTTTGAGGTGTGGACAGCCACCACTCCCACCTACTGCTACGAGTGCGAGGGGCTGTTGTGGGGCATCGCTCGCCAGGGCATGAGGTGCTCCGAGTGCGGGGTCAAATGCCACGACAAGTGCCAGGACCTGCTCAATGCCGACTGCCTGCAGAGTAAGGAACACACAAGTGCACACACACACGAAAACATGCACACATACGTAGAACTACTGTGTCTCATTTTTACATTACACACACACACACACACACACTATTTTCTCCTTACACTCTACACACAGAAAGAAATATACACCCATAAAAACTCCCTCTCATTTCCCCTCTTGCTTTCCCTTTTTCGATTGACATCCCATTACTCTACTCTCTCTCTTTCTCCTCCCCTCTTCCTTTTCAATTTATCTCCTGAGTAATGTGCTGTCATCCCTCCTGCTTCTCTCCTGGACTCAGTCCCTCCATCCTTATTACTTCTCTAATTCACATTCCCCAAGATTAGATTTTAGCTCAATTCACTACTGATTTACGGTCTCTTTTATCTCCTATTACTCACTTGTCCCCTCTCCCCACTATTCCTTAGGAGCCTTTAATCTGAAGGTTTACCCAAATGACCATCACTGCCTCTTTTCTCTCTATCTCATATTCTCCATCTATACCAGGGATGGGCAACTTTGATGGGGGTGGGGGCCATAAAACATATTTCTCTTCTCCTAGTCTCTCTCCCTCCTTCATGCCCTTTTTAACTTTTTCTCATTGCCTCTCTCTCCTTCCTCTCTCTCTTCTCTCTTTGTCCTCTCTTTTCTTCCGGCTCTTTTCCTATACTCTAACCCCTCTCCTCTCTCACCCCCTCCCTCTCTCTCATCTCCAGGGGCAGCGGAGAAGAGTTCTAAGCATGGGGAGGAGGACAGAACCCAGAACATCATCATGGTTCTAAAGGACAGGATGAAGATCAGAGAGAGGAACAAACCGGAAATCTTCGAGCTCATCCAGGAAGTGTTTAGCATCGTCAAGGCGACGCACGCCACGCAGATGAAGCAGATCAAACAGAGTGTGCTCGATGGGACGTCCAAGTGGTCGGCCATGATCAGCATGACTGGTAAAACAAGGACTGGGATTGAGATTGGGATTAAGATTGAGATTAGGTTTGGTAGGGGTTGGGATTAAGGTTAGAATTGGAGGGGGTGTTGGTTACTGACTGGCAGTAGGAAGATTACATCAGTAGACTCCCCTTTGCCAACCAGAGAATACATTATATTTTACATGTTTGCTTTTGAGTTCTTTCTTTAGCAGATGCTCTTATACAAAGTGATTTTGATGTGTATTCAAGTAAGGACACTGAAACAACCATTTAGCTAATACTCTCTGTGTGGTGTATGCCCAGAGTCTAATGGTGTGACTGTGTCCGTCTCTCAGTGCAGTGTGCCCAGGGCCTCCAGGCCAAGGACAAGACCGGCTCCAGTGACCCGTACGTCACAGTTCAGGTGGGCAAGACCAAGAAGAGGACCAAGACCATCTACGGTAACCTCAACCCTGTCTGGGATGAGAACTTCCACTTGTGAGTACAGCGAGTGTGTGTCTGTCTGTCTGTCTATGCATGGCTGTGTGTGGTTACGTCTGACATCATTTCTTAATCTCGTAGCGAATGCCACAACTCGTCGGACCGCATCAAGGTACGCGTGTGGGACGAAGACGATGACATCAAGTCCAGGGTGAAGCAGAAGTTCAAACGGGAGTCAGATGACTTCCTGGGTCAGACCATCATCGAGGTCCGCACACTCAGCGGCGAGATGGACGTATGGTACAACCTGGGTGAGTGATGGAGGGGGAGAGAGTGAGGGGGAGAGAGTGAGGGAGGAGGAGTGAGGGAGGAGGAGTGAGGGAGGAGGAGTGAGTGAGGGAGAGGTGAGTGAGTGAGTGAGAGAGAGAGAGAAGAGAGAGAGGAGAGAGGATAGATAGGAGATAGAGAGGAGAGGAGATGAAGGAGAGAGAGAGAGCCAGTAGAGAGTAGTACTGATCTCACTAGATGAGATGATCAGAAGAGAAGAGGGCATCAGAGGTCACCTCAATAGAATGTCTTGATGTGAGTGTGTTGGTGTCCTCTGACAGACAAGAGAACAGACAAGTCTGCTGTGTCTGGAGCCATCCGGATGCACATCAGTGTAGAGATCAAAGGAGAGGAGACTGTGGCTCCCTACCATGTCCAGTACACCTGTCTACATGAAGTAAGACCTACCATACCTTAACTTACCTTACTTACCACACACACAGACACACACACACACACCTCTAACAGTTTCTTCCCGCTGTGTGTGAAGCACCTGTTTCAGTACACTACAGAGGAGCAGAACAGTGGTGTGGTGAAGATCCCTGATGCCAAAGGTGACGACGCGTGGAAGGTGTACTTCGAGGAGACTCCTCAGGAGATCGTGGATGAGTTCGCCATGCGTTACGGAGTGGAGTCCATCTACCAGGCTATGACGTCAGTACCATCACCATACAGAACACAGAGAGTTTGGTCATTGGTTTAGACCAGAGACGTAGCTATACATATATACATTTATACCATGGCATTGTTGAATACTCCTTTCTGATTGGTTTGAAGGGCATTCTAGAGTGTGCATTATTTTCTTATAACGCACTGTATATTTGCATGGTAGAATTCAATGGCTATAGTTCATTCTTACATGTTCTATGTTTGAGCTGCTTTTAAAAGTAAAAGTTGAATTGAAAACATTATTGGCATTGTTGAATTCGATTTTCATAATGGCAAACTAGGATTGATAGGTTGGTTAGCTAAACTAGCAATTCTGTTTTTTTCGTTACCATGGCAACTACTGTAGCTAGCCATCTAGTAAACTTGCTTGCTACTTCAATGGATGTTGAACATATTTCTACTGGCAAATGTGTTAAATTATAGCCACGCTACCGCGTCGTGGAACACACCTTCCACGTTGTTCATTCTTTTCCATAGAACGCTGCGTTGATGATTATCCCTTACATAAATATACAGCTCTGATTTGAACCTTATATTAAGGAGAGAACAAGTATTATGTACCATCACCCGGCAGGTAGCTTAGTGGGTAAGAGCGTTGTGCCAGTAACCGAAAGGTCACTGGTTCTAATCCCCGAGCCGTCGATGTGCAAGGCACTTAACAGTCTATGACTAGGGTGGCTGGAGTCTTTGACAATTTTGAGGGCCTTCCTCTGACACCGCCTGCTATAGAGGTCCTGGATGGCAGGAAGCTTGGCCCCAGTGATGTACTGGGCCGTACGCACTACCCTATATAGTGCCTTGCGGTCTGAGGCCGAGCAGTTGCCATACCAGGCGGGTGATGCTCTCGATGGTGCAGTTTTTGACTGTGATAACATGTAACACAATACAGAATAAAACACACTTGAGACTACTGGACAAACTACACTGGACAGACAAATGACAACATATTTCATCCCTAAAAGTCCCAGTTAATATGAATATAATTATTCTATTGTGTGTGTCCACAGCCATTTTGCATGTCTGTCGTCTAAGTACATGTGCCCGGGCGTTCCCGCGGTGATGAGTACCCTTCTGGCCAACATCAATGCCTACTATGCTCACACCACCCAGTCCACCAATAACGTTTCAGCATCAGACCGCTTCGCCGCATCCAACTTTGGAGTGAGTTCATTAGTTTATACTTTTAGGGGCGGTTTCCCAGACATAGATTAAGCCTAGTCTTGGACCTAAAAGCTATTTCAATGGAGATTCTCTTTAGTCCAGGACTACACTTAATCTGTGTCCTTGAAACCAACCATTATTCTTTTAGGTTTACATTTTATTAAAAGGTATTTCATTTAAAATTGTATTAACTGTATTGATTAATTATGAATGGAAATGTCTTCTTAGAGATTACATGTCAAGACATGTTGAACTGTGTAGGTAAAGTAAAAAGGAAAGTAGGTTCAAAACCGGAACATTGTCCTGAGGGCCCTCTGCCCTAATACAGCCTCCAACCCCCATTTTCAAACAGTGGCCCAACCTACATCCCCAACTGCCCAATCAGACTCACCAAGCTAAGCTAGATCCTGTCCTGGATTGACATAAGCAAAATATACACAAATATACACTGTCAGCTGAGATGATGTTACAATTTTTAATCCTGTTTTATCTTGTCCTGTGTGTGTGTCCTCTGTGGGTAGAAGGACAGGTTTGTGAAACTTCTAGATCAGCTCCACAACTCCCTGAGGATTGACCTTTCCATGTACAGGGTAATGTCAACTATTTTCTTTCACTGTTTTCTATTTTTCTTTTTGAAATGTGTTAAGTGTATTGAGAGACTTTTAGAAGTGTTTTTCACAAAGTTTGACTTCACACAAACACTGGTTTGTATTCTGTGTTATGTATGAAAGTCACTGTTTTAGATTAGCCCTCTATTCCAGTATTTGCGTTTTCTAATCATTCATGTGTTTTTGTATTTTAGTTGTTTTTGTTTGTGAATATTTTGTTTTGTGTAATTTGATTATCCTTCCAGTTCCATCTGTAGGCCATTAGATGAGTAGCATTTTCTTGCAGTTGACATTATTATATTTATATTCTACTTTTATTCGACCAAAAGTTGAAGGGCATGATGGAGGAGATAGAATAGACTACTACAAAATTATACTATCAAAATAAACCTTACATTCTAAGTTAGATAGGCCTTCAACAAGCCATGTTTATTTTACCAGTCTTGTGATACAGTTGAAGTCGGAAGTTTACATACACTTTGGAGTCATTTAAACTCGTTTTTCAACCACTCCAAACTATAGTTTTGGCAAGTCGGTTAGGACACCTACTTTGTGCATGACACAAGTCATTTTTCCAACAATTGTTTACAGACAGATTATTTCACTTATAATTCACTGTATCACAATTCCAGTGGGTCAGAAGTTTACATACACTAAGTTGACTGTGCCTTTAAACAGCTTGGAAAATTCCAGAAAATGATGTCATGGCTTTAGAAGCTTCTGATAGGCTAATTGACATCATTTGAGTCAATTGGAGGTGTACCTGTGGATGTATTTCAAGGCCTACCTTCAAACTCAGTGCCTCTTTGCTTGACATCATGGGAAAATCAAAAGAAATCAGCCAAGACCTCAGAAAAATTATTGTAGACCTCCACAAGTCTGGTTCATCCTTGAAAGCAATTTCCAAATGCCTGAACGTACCACGTTCATCTGTACAAACAATAGTACGCAAGTATAAACACCATGGGACCACCGATCCGTCATACCGCTCAGGAAGGAGACGCGTTTTGTCTCCTAGAGATGAACGTACTTTGGTGCGAAAAGTACCAATATACTTCCAAAGTTGTGGCAAAATGGCTTAAGCACAACAAAGTCAAGGTATTGGAGTGGCCATCACAATACCCAGACCTCAATCCTATAGAAAATGTATGGGCAGAACTGAAAAAGCGTGTGTGAGCAAGGAGGCCTACAAACCTGACTCAGTTACACCAGCTCTGTCAGGAGGAATGGGCCAAAATTCACCCAACTTATTGTGGGAAGCTTGTGGAAGGCTACCCGAAACGTTTGACCCAAGTTAAACAATTTAAAGGCAATGCTACCAAATACTAATTGAGTGTATGTAAACTTGTGACCCACTGGGAATGTGATGAAATAAATAAAAGCTGAAATACATCATTCTCTCTACTATTATTCTGACATTTCACATTCTTAAAATAAAGTGGTGATCCTAACTGACCTAAGACAGGGAATTTTTACTAGGATTAAATGTCAGGAATTGTGAAAAACTGAGTTTAAATGTATTTGGCTAAGGTGTATGTAAATTTCCGACTTCAACTGTATCTGAACCTGTTTTTCAAGAACATATCTCTGTTCGTAACAGTGTTTCTGTGTGTTTCTACACTGTTGTAGAGTATATATCAGTGTGTTTCTATGTTTGTAATGGTGTTTCTGTGTGTTTGTAGAATAACTTCCCAGCTAGTAGCCCTGAGAGGCTGCAGGACCTCAAGTCCACTGTAGACCTACTGACCAGCATCACCTTCTTCAGAATGAAGGTAAACAAAACAAAACTCCATTCATCTCCTTCTTCATCTCTTTTTCCTCAAGTCGTAGAGCTGGCTTGTGCCAGCCAACATTTAATTCCAGGAAAGAAGCAATATATATGTGGATTCATAAATAGACTTACTTGCTAAACTAGCTCTTGAGGAGCCTCTTAAGACCATCCTGATCTCGCGAGCTTACATCATGTTTTGCTACACAGATTCAGTAAAACAAAACGAGAGCGCAGCAATCAGGATGGTTTGATCAGGCTAGCTCTTGAGGGCAACATTTAGCACCGGTTAGGGTGTATCAGCCATATACAGTGCATTTGGAAAGTATTCAGACTCCTTCACCTTTTCCACAATTTATTACATTAAAGTCTTAATCTAAAATTGATTAAATAAAACATTTTCGTCATCAATCTACACACAATACCCCATAATGACAAAGCGAAAACAGGATTTTAGAAAATGTAGCAAAATTATAAAAAATAGAAAACAGAAGTACCTTATTTACATAAGTAATTACTCAAAATTGAGCTCAGGTGCATCCTGTTCCCATTGATCATCCTTGAGATGTTTCTGTCTATATAAAGGTCCCACAGTTGACAGTACATGTCAGAGCAAAAACCAAGCCATGAGGTCGAATGAATTGTCCGTAGAGCTCCAAGACAGGTTTTGTCGAGGCACAGATCTGGGGAAAAATTTCTGCAGCATTGAATGTCCCCAAGACCACAGTGGCCTCCATCATTCTTAAATGGAAGAAGTTTGGAACCACCAAGACTCTTCCTAGAGCTGGCCGCCCGGCCAAACTGAGCAATCGGGGGAGAAGGGCCTTGGTAAGGGAGGTGACCAAGAACCCGATGGTCACTCTGACAGAGCTCTAGAGTTCCTCTGTGGAGATGGGAGAACCTTCCAGAAGGACCACCATCTCTGCAGCACTCCACCAATCAGGCCTTTATGGTAAAGTGGCCAGACGGAAGCCACTCCTCAGTAAAAGGCACATGACAGCCTGTTTGGAGTTTGCCAAAAGGCACCTAAAGGACTCTTAGACCATGAGAAACAAGATTGTCTGGTCTGATGAAACCAAGATTGAACTCTTTGGCCTGAATGCCAAGCATCACACCTGGAGAAAACCTGGCACCATGTCTACGGTGAAGCATGGTGGTGGCAGCATCATGCTGTGGGGATGATTTTCAGCGGCAGGGACTGGGAGACTAGTCAGGATCGAGGCAAAGCTGAACGGATCAAAGGACAGAGAGATCCTTGATGAAAACCTGCTCCAGAGTGCTCAGGACCTCAGAGTGGGGCGAAGGTTCACCTTCAAACAGGACAACGACCCTAAGCACACAGCCAAGACAATGCAGGAGTGGCTTCGGGACAAGTCTCTGAATGTCCTTGAGTGGCCCAGCCAGAGGCCGGACTTGAACCCGATCTAACGTCTGGAGAGACCTGAAAATAGCTGTGCAGCGACGCTCCCCATCCAACCTGATAGAGCTTGAGGATCTGCAGAGAAGAATGGGATAAACTCTCCAAATACAGGTGTGCCAAGCTTGTAGCGTCATACACAAGAAGACTCGAGGCTGTAATCGCTGCCAAAGGTGCTTCCACAAAATACTGAGTAAAGGGTCTGAATACTTATGTAAATGTGATATTTCAAATTTGCAAACATTTCTAAAAACCTGTTTTTGCTTTGTCATTATGGGGCATTGTGTGTAGATTGATGAGGAAAAAAACAAATACATTTTAGAAAAAGGCTGTAACGTAACAAAATGTGGAAAAAGTCAAGGGGTCTGAATACTTTCCGAATGCACTGCATGCTAATGCTAAGCTAACTGACCTTTGAACTTACTGTGTGATTAGGTCCAGGAGCTGCAGAGCCCCCCCAGGGCCAGTCAGGTGGTGAAGGACTGTGTCAAAGCCTGTCTCAACTCCACCTACGAGTACATCTTCAACAACTGCCATGAACTCTACGGCAGAGAATACCAGACAGACCCTGTGAGTGTGGTTGGGGGGTGTGTGTTTGTGGTGTGTGATGTGTATGTGAGTTCATGTGAGTGCATGCATATCTGTGTGTTTGTGTCTGACCGTCCTCTTTCTCTCCAGGCTAAGGCTGACGTTCCAGAAGAGCAGGGTCCGAGCATCAAGAACCTGGATTTCTGGTCCAAACTCATCACCCTCATTGTCTCCATCATAGAAGAGGACAAGAACTCCTACACACCCTGTCTCAACCAGTGAGTTTCTCTATCTCCGTCTCTCCTTCTCTCTCCCTCCCTCTCTTTGTCTCTCTCTCTCTGTCTCTCTCTCTCTCTCTCTCCTCTCTCTCCTCTCTCTCTCTCTCTCTCTCTCTCTCTCTCTCTCTCTCTCTCTCTCTCTCTCCTCTCTGAACACTCTGTTCTTCTGCCCTCTGTAGGTTTCCTCAGGAACTGAACGTGGGTGTCATCAGTGCTGAGGTCATGTGGAACATGTTCGCTCAAGACATGAGATATGCCATGGAGGGTATGTGTGTGTGTGTGTGTGTGTGTGTGTATGTGCGCGCGCGCGTCGTATCAATCAATAAGTCCCTAAACTAATGCTACCAACCTGTCTCTGGTTCCCAGAGCATGAGAAGAACCGTCTGTGTAAGAGTGCTGATTACATGAACCTGCACTTCAAGGTTAAGTGGCTCTACAACGAATACTGCAAAGAGCTGCCCACCTTCCAGAAACGTGTTCCTGAGTACCCCGCGTGAGTGTCCTTTATCTCATCTAATTCAGCTCTTTTTTTAGGGAAAGTCCATGAAGAATATATATTTGGGGGGCTTGTTATCACATAATGAGATGATTTTGGGGACCCTTTCTCTGCTGTCTCATAGGTGGTTTGAGCCGTTTGTCATCCAGTGGTTGGACGAGAATGAGGAAGTGTCCAGAGACTTCCTGCACGGTGCCCTAGTGAGGGACACAAAGGACGGGGTAAACTCACATCTGTTTCCTCTCTGAGATATCAAAAATAAATTGGCAATGGTTTGTATTACAGGCTTCTATTTACTTGTGTTATTTGCTAGACGATACATCGTCAAATTGTAATTACGTAGTTGTTTCTCAATAATTGATACTGTAGGTTTATTATTTATTTGAGATTAATTGAAATGATTTAAAACGTTTCAAAATATGTACCTTATTAAATTAATTTTGAGGTACTAAAGATCCTACTGATGTAGGCCTACTAGACATAAAGATGTACTATGCAATTTCACTGTAAAAGTTGTAAATGTTTTAAACACCCAACAGAGAAATGACTGCCCTGTCCTTCCCACCAATTCCCCCAACACACTTCCATCATGTGTACTTCCCTTACTCAGCACCAAGTGGTCTGGGAGAGAGGAAGAAGCAGGTTAGAGGCTCAGCACAATCAATATGTGGCCAATAACACACAGACATGAGACCTAGCATACACGGCAGCCCTCGAGGAACTGACACACACACACACACACACACTGAGTACACATTCACACACACACGCGAGTCGATGCGTATGAGCAGGTTCTCTCCCCTCATTCGTCTGTGGTCCTAAGGGTCCAATTTCTGTCGCCCACAGCATCTTCTTGTTTCCTGTGTCAGCAGGAATCCAGTCCCACCGCCACCCTCCCCTTCACAACACCGCTCAATACCCCGCTAATGACAGGGGTGTTAATGAGGGCTCTGCTCCCCATCATATCCCTGATCACCACATCATTAATGTGGCGAGAGGAACCAGCCACACGCTGTCCATTCATAGAGAATTCAACAGCACTTGCCATCTATCTTTAGTATATAAGATGAAATGTATGGCCTTGAAAAAGGGGGCATCCTTCTCCTGTTCTTTGAAGTGTGGGGATCCCAGTCTTGATCATTATGGACCTGTTACTTGTGCCTTTTGTTAGATATCAAAGCACCCAGATATCAAAGCACTTTAATAATCCCCCGTCTCGTCCATTCTCCCACTTCCCCCAATCTCCCTCTACCCAATTCCTCTCTTCTCTGCCATGTCACCTCTCTCCCTATCATCCCCCACCCTCCTCTCTCCTTTCCTCTCTCCTCATCCCCTTCGCTCCTCTCCCCTGTTCTTTCCTTTCCCCCCCCTTCCCTTCCTCTCCTCCCTTCCCTCCTCTCTTCCCCCTACAGTTCCAGGTAACGTCGGAGCATGCTCTGTTCTCCTGCTCGGTGGTGGACGTGTTCTCCCAGCTCAACCAGAGCTTTGAGATCATACGCAAGCTAGAGTGTCCCGACCCCCAGATCGTAGGCAACTACATGAAGAGATTCGCCAAGGTACCACTTTTAGGCCTTACCAATATGGCCGACATTTCAGACTGTATTGGTCTATGATGTGTGACTTGAAAAAGCCCTTATGAATATGATATAATGTGGAGGTCTTCTGTGATCGAACACTAACAGGGTTAGATGATACAGAAGATGCTAATTGTCTCTCATCCTCTCTCTCTCTTTCTTTCTGTCTCTCCCTCTCTCTGTCTCTCTCTCTCTCTATCAGACCATCGGCAATGTTCTGCTGTCCTATGCTGAGATCATTTCCAAAGAGTTCCCCAAACAATGCGGGAACAAAGAGAAAGAGAAAGTGGTAGGTTAGGGGAACGTCACGTGTGTGTGTGTCTGTGTGTTTGTGCATGTGCGTGTGTACTGTAAGTGAATGAGAACTGATTGTGGTCTAGAGGGAGAAGCTGGACTGGCTCCCAGAAAACCAAGTCTCCCAGTGGACTGATTCATCTATAGTCAACACTGAGCCTAGAGCCTCTGTCTGTCTGCTCTGCCTCTGCTTGGATCAGCAAGATACAGCTTCTCTGTCTGTCTGTCTGTCTCTCTCACTCTTTCTCTCTCTTTGTCTGCTTTTACATCAGCAAGATAGAGCTTTTTTTCTCTCTCTCTCTCTCTCTCTCTCTCTCTCTCTCTCTCTCTCTCTCTCTCTCTCTCTCTCTCTCTCTCTCTCTCTCTCTCTCTGTGTCTGCTCTGCCTCTGCTTGGATATCAGCAAGATACAGCTTCTCTCTATCTGTCTGCCTGCTTGTATCAGCAAGATACAGCTTCTGCAAAGTTGCAAGAGAAGATCTCTAATTATGTGTGTCTTCCTTTCCCCTCAGCCTTGTATCATCATCAATAACATCCAGCAGCTGAGAGTGCAGCTGGAGAAGATGTTTGAGGCCATGGGAGGCAAAAATGTGAGTCTGTCAACCTCAATGTAAAATGTGCCATCACTCAGACCTCAATGTGCCATTACACGAACCACATTGTAAAAATGTGTACCTACAATGTAATGATTACACTGTACCCACAGTGTCATTTTCTATGTAAAAACATGTATTATTAAGGGCACTTACTTCCTGCTATGTAAATACATGTATTAAGGACACTTACTTCCTGCCCCCAGCTTAATGTGGAGGCCAGTGACTTCCTGAAGGACCTGCAATTAAAGCTCAACAACGTCATGGACGACCTTAGTAGGATATTTGCCGTCAGGTGTGTGCGTGCGCATGTGTGTGTTTGTGGAGTTGTTTAGTTGGAGTTGTTTAGTTGGAGCATGGTGCTTCCAGGGTCGTATTCATTAGGACATGCAACAGAACTCCCTCTTTCAATCTGTTTTCTTCCGCTTGGAGCCTAATGCATATGACCCTGAGTCATGGGTTTTTATGGTTGTGGTGTGTCTGCCGTTGTGTAGTTTCCAGCCCCAGATGAAGGAGAATGTTGTGGGTTTTGATGGTTGTCTGTGTGTCTAGTTTCCAGCCCCATATTGAGGAGAATGTGAAGCAGATGGGCGACATCCTGGGCCAGGTGAAGGGACAGACTGTTACTGACAACAACAGCGTGGCCGGGGACGCCGACAACGTCCTGCAGCCCATCATGGACTTCCTCGACACCAAGTGAGCCACAGAGCCAGAGATGCACATGCACTCACAGACACACACACACACACTCTCCCTCTCTCTCTGTTCAGCATGAGTGTGCTAAAATGTATGTGTTCTCACCTCCCTAGCCTGTCGCTGTTTGCTAAAATCTGTGAGAAGACCGTACTGAAGAGAGTGCTGAAGGAACTGTGGAAACTGGTCATTAACACTATGGAGAAAAGCATTGTGCTTCCACCATTCACAGACCAGTCAGTGAGTAAACACACATACACTTTTTTATGTCTACAAACCTGCACAAAACTCTCTTCAATACTCTCTGCTTCAGGTCTTTTTTTCATGCCCTTTTCCATAGTATAATACCGTATCTACCATTCATTTATAAATATGAAGTCCTGGCTAGAATAAGAGGGAGAGGATTGAATGGTTACTTCCTCTCCCTGCTCGTTGTTGATTGGTTGAGATGGGCCTGGAGTTTCACTGACCCCCCCCCCCCCCCCCCCACTCTCGCCATCGCCCCACCCTCTCTTTCTCTCCTCCTTAGGCAATAGTAAGTACTGTGTGTGTACGTGTGCATGTGTGTGTGAACAAGTGCGTGTGTGTGTTTCTCCCTGTCTGCTGTCTGTCAGCACGGACACACAGACTCCTCTGCTACCTGCGACAGCACAGTATCACTCCTCTTGTCCCCCATCTCTCCTTCTCAGATTGAGCCCAAGACCCTACCCCCCGCTTGTATAACTCTAGAAAAATGTGGTTGGTGTAAGCAGTAAGACTAGTAGGTAGGGGCGAGGGGTGGATTTGAGTGTGTTGAATAGTGTCCAGTATCATCCCCTGTATTTTAGATAGGCGCATGGTGCACGACTGAGAGATGGATTACCTGACCTGGTGCCACTGCAATACAGCGCCTTACCCCCACCCCTCCTTACGCTTCTCCTTCCCCTCTTCCTCTCCTCCCTTACCTCCTGTCCTATCGTGTGTCCTTCCGCTACAGTGTTGCCTGTATGTTGAATGGATTGGAGTTTCCACACAACCCGGTACTGGATTTGAAACCTGTCCTGCACATGCCTTTTTCCCCCGATTCTTTATTGTGACATGTTATGTTTAGCTATGTATAAACTCTCTATCTTCTTCAAGCACAACTCTCCCCTCGTCATCCTACTCCCTCTTCTATCGTCACCATCTCTCTCTCAACCTCGCTCTCTCTCTCAACCTCGCTCTCTCTCGCTCAACCTCGCTCTCTCTCTCAACCTCGCTCTCTCTCGCTCAACCTCGCTCTCTCAACTTCGCTCCTCTCGCGAACCTCGCTCTCTCTCAACCATCCTCGCGCTCAACCTCGCCTGCTCTCTCAACCTTCGCTCTCTCGCGCTCAACCTCGCTCTCTCTCTCAACCTCGCTCTCTCTCGCTCAACCTCGCTCTCTCAACCTCGCTCAACCTCACTCTCTCTCTCAACCTCACTCTCTCTCGCTCAGCCTTTCTCTCTCTCTCAACCTCTCTCTCTCTCTCAACCTCGCTCTCTCTCTCTCAACCTCTCTCTCTCTCTCAACCTCGCTCTCTCTCTCAACCTCGCTCTCTCTCTCAACCTCTCTCTCTCTCTCTCAACCTCGCTCTCTCTCTCAACCTCTTTCTCTCTCCCCTCCACAGGGCACTCAGATGATCTTTAATGCAGCTAAGGAGTTGGGCCAGCTCTCCAAGCTCAAGGTAATGATGACACATTAGGATGAGTTCATTTCTGCAGCACACTGTCGTGTAGTGTGTTGTATTAACTACATTGTTGCATGAATGAACTCGGCCTCTGTTTCCCTGCCCTGCAGGAGCACATGGTGCGAGAGGAGGCCAAGGCTCTCACTCCTAAACAGTGTGCCGTCATAGAGCTCGCATTGGACACCATTAAGGTACAGTATACATAATGTACACTTTGTAGGAAGTATGTGTAGTATGTATTATGTAGTACATAAAATGCACTTTACTTAAAGAATCCCGGTATAAAGCTTTATAACTTGTTATAAGCATGTATGAACCTACATCATGTATTATAACAAGGGTTATAATATGTTATGTCTCTCTATGGATAAATAACAATGCCTGTTGGCCTCTTCCCCTGCAGCAATACTTCCATGCGGGCGGTGTGGGTCTGAAGAAGACATTCCTGGAGAAGAGTCCGGACCTGAAGTCTCTGCACTACGCCCTGTCCCTTTACACACAACACACTGACAAGCTCATCAGGAAGTTTGTCCTCTCCCAAAACGCTCAGGGTACGACACTCACTCTGTCTCTGTCTGGCTGGCTCTCTGTTTGTCTGGATGGCTGGCTGGCTGGCTCTCTGGCTCTCCACTTCTCTCTCTCTCTCTGCCTGCCTCTGTGAATGGTAACTCTCCTTGTGAGATTTGGTACAGCGATACATGTGAGCTGGGATATCCTACTGAACTTTCTCCTCTCTTCTCTTTCTCTCTCCCTGCTAGTCCATGGAGGGAAGGGGGTCAGGTATACCCTCAACGAAGACACATTACCAGAGAAGGGTAAGTACCTTTGCCACTGCCTCACCCCTCCCCTCTCCATACTCATTTAATGTAAACAGCGTGTTTCCGGAGAATAACCGTCAATTAGTGGATAACAGTCTGGTGCAGACCAGCTGCAGGCTTTAACCCTGGCACTAAACCCACTGTAGCTATGGCCAGCCAGCAAAACACTGCTGCGCTCTTAAACTAACTGGATTAAACAGATATCCGTCTAGTCCTAGTAGACCACATACATACTTATGCACATGACAATAAAACTTGGATAAAACATTTAAATCAGGGAATGGACAATGTAGGAAAGGATTCCAGTGGTGGAATGATCCCAACGTCTAGACATGGCCAGACTCCCACACACACACACACACAGCATGCATCGTGTAGACAGATTTATCAGCTTGCCTTTGCTTTATTGTGCATTAAACTTGCTTGCTACAATCTGAAACACTGCGGGGGTCATAGTGTGCTCTGGTCAACAGCAGTGATCTCAATGCTGTGTGTCTTATGTCATGGTTAACACTTGACCTCTGGTAGGGTCGGGAGTGGAGGAGCCGATCGGAGAGGTGGTCATGCATGTGGAGATCTTCACCCACCCCAACACTGGAGAACACAAGATCACTGTGAGAGGTGAGAGATGGAGGGAGGGGGTGAGGGGGAAGGAGAAAGAGATGGAGGGAGGGGGTGAGGGGGAAGGAGAAAGAGATGGAGGGAGGGGGTGAGGGGGAAGGAGAAAGAGATGGAGGGAGGGGGTGAGGGGGAAGGAGAAAGAGATGGAGGGAGGGGGTGAGGGGGAAGGAGAAAGAGATGGAGGGGGTAATGGGGAAAGGGAGGGCATAAGGTAGTGGTAATGATGGGCTTTACATACATAATTGCACTAGGCTTGAGCTTCTCTGAAATGCACTGCAAAAACCCAGGACCCTTTCTCTCTCCCAGTGGTGGCTGCTAATGACATTAAGTGGCAGACCCAGGGGATCTTCCGTCCCTTCGTGGAGGTCTACATCATCGGTCCCCACCTCAGTGACAAGAAGAGGAAGCACGCCACCAAGTCCAAGAACAACAGCTGGTCGCCCAAGTTCAACGAGACCTTTCAGTAGTGAGTATATCAAGCCTATTTCTGGTTAGGGTGTGTGTGCGTGTCAATGTCAATGTGTGCACTATCCAACCCACTTCTTCTCTGTCTCCTCTCCAGTTCCCTGGGCAGTGAGTTGGGTCCTGAGGGCTATGAGCTGCAGGTGTGTGTGAAAGACTACTGCTTCGCCAGGGAGGACCGTACGGTGGGCATGGCCCTGATGCAGTTGAAGGACATGGCCTCTAGGGGCAGCGTGACATGCTGGCTCCCCCTGGGGAAGAGGGTCCACATGGATGAGACGGGCCTGACGGTACTGAGGATCCTATCTCAACGCAACAACGATGAGGTGGCCAAAGAGTTCGTCAAGCTTAAGTCAGACCAGCGCTCTGCCGAGGAGGGACAGGGGAGCTGAGAGAGAACAGAGATCTAGAGATACTGACGCACATATGCACGCACACACACAGTCGCACAACATACAGAGGTACACATGTATTCATACACCACGCACAAACATACACTGTACATTACACACAAACAATACAGGCAAACACATACGTGAACCCACACAACATATGTGCATGTTATACAAACATGGTCATGAACACACTAATAATCTCTATCACAACGATTATCACGTGTACAAACACTGAGGTGGCCAACGGTTCCTTCAACCATAGACAGATTTTGGACACCTATCAATCAATTAATTTATCAATTTCTGCTGCTCTCTTTCACTCTTGCATATTACATACACTTTTTCTATACATTTAATGCAGAAATGTGAGATAGTTAAAAAATATATCACCTGAGGAGGTATAGAGATGGATGACTTTGCACTTTGACCTCTCTGCATGTTCAGGAGAGCAGCCCTAACCCCAACTCTTATTCCTCTGTCTGTTTCTGTCTGTCGATATATCAGTCTGTTGTTCTCTCTTGCTACCTCTCGGTTTTTCTCTGTTGTGATGTGCTCTGGGTAGAAGATGCCATCAGGCACAGATCTAGGATCAGCTTACAGTCTCCTTGTCCTCACTTTGCCTGTTAGGGAAGGGGACATTTAACACTGATCTTATACTGAACGAAAATATAATCGCAACATGCAACTATTTCAAAGATTTTACTGAGTTACAGTTCATATAAGGAAATCAGTCAATTGAAATAAATCAATTAGGCCCTAATCTATGGATTTCACATGACTGGGAATATAGATACCTTTTTTTTTTAAGTACGGGTGTGGATCAGAAAACCAGTAAATATCTGGTGTGACCACCATTTGCCTCATGCAGCGTGACACAAATCCTTCGCATAGCGTTGATCAGGCTGTTGATAGTGGCCTGTGTAATGTTGTCCCACTCAAAAATATAAACGCAACAGGTAAAGTGTTGGTCCCATGTTTCATGAGCTGAAAAAAAAAATCACAGAAATATTACATACCCACAAAAATATTTCACTCAAATTTTGTGCACAAATGTGTTTACATTCCTTGCCATGGTAACAGCAAATTAATCACAGTGTTCTGAGAATTGGGTTCAACATGCAGGAAGTACATCATCACACCAAGTAGGGTGAAGATGCGTCCACACTGATCTACACTGAACAAAAATATAAACGCAACAGGTAAAGTGTTGGTCCCATGTTTCATGAGCTGAAATAAAAAAATCCCTTGGCATTACTATACTGAAAACACACCACGTTACACAGACCTGTCTGTCCGTTTTTGAACAGTTCTACGTTTACAATCCAAAATGATGGGTGTTAGCACAAAACGGTTGTTACCATGGCAACATCTGTACACACCCACTCTCACTTGACACCTTATACCTGTGTGCACGGTGCATATAACCTGGTATAATAACTCATATCCAAACTACTATACAGTATGAAACAGAAAGTGAAATAAGAAGAATGTTCCGATGTCTGACATGAATGTGTATTTTATATGATTGTAATCAAATCAAGTTTTATTGGTCGCATACACATGTTTAGCAGATGTTATTGCAGGTGTAGCGAAATGCTTGTAAGAGACGCCAGACTTTCACATGCGTAGACTGTAGCCTACCTGAGGGTTGGATCAGTTGTTGGATGTTAGTCGGCTTGTTTGGGACACACCACATGGCCGTATTGTACATAGACACGGAGATGGTGCAATAGACTCAAGCATGTACCTTTTGAAGATGGTCTGCTCTTTTTACATACTCACCTACTCTAGCAATGGCTCTCGTTTCACATCACTATAAAGGAGAAATAATAGCCAAGAGATGGTTGCGACAACCTCTCGCAAACAAACCCCCTTCTATGTTCCCCTGAAAGTGCACAAATACTGCAAAGGGCTACAGGACCAGCAGACACAGAAAGGACACTGCCTGGTCAGTCCACACGTCTGCATTTGTGAAAATTTAAGAAATATGTTTTGGCTATGGGCCATACGATTACTAACCCATAGGCCACTATATACCGTACAGGAAACTGCAGAGCAACTGCATGGTCTCTCTGACTGCCTTCATGATAATCTGATTCTGTGTGTTAAGGCAATATCTAGTTGTCTTTTTGGTCAATTTGTCCCTGCATTTTTCTGTCAAAGGGTTTCAGCGCATTTTGCAGTGTGTTTGTGCATGTTTTCTGTCCTACCTAACTTCTGGGCTAAGAGTTCATCTGTTTAATGTGGTTGCAAGCAATATAACCCCAACGTAATCACTGGAAACCTGTGGCACGCCCAGGAGTTCCAACTGCAATACCCAGATCCAAGGAGCGGGATGCCAAATCCCAACTTTTCATTGGATCACTGAATGGGGAATTCCCTGTTATGATGGACTCATCTCAATCCCCTCCTCATAGGAAGTGTGTGTTTCTCTTGTAATACTGGGAATACTTTAGGAATACTGGACATTGGAGCGGGAGAGCACTCCGGCTTACATTAAGACCTATTTGCTGTTCTGTCAGCTCCTGGTCAGACTTTTCCAGTGGATGACTTTGCGGAGATTGAGGTGAATGGGCCAACTCAAACGGACCAGCTAATGTTTTTCAACGACTCCTGTTGGCTAGCAGTGTCAACGCCCAAGCCATTGTATATGACAATGTAGTAGTTTAATAATACGACAGGGGGGTAATAATCAACCAACCACTTACCACGTCATCGCTTATCTTACTATACAGAAAACACACCATGTTACACAGACCTGTCTGTCCGTTTTTGACCTGTTCTACGTTTACAATGCAAAATGATGGGTGTTCGCACAAAACGGTTGTATTGTGATGTTTCTGCTTATTGTAAATGAGTTTGAATCAACTAGAGCTTCTGTTGCTATTTCCACTGCTAGAGAACAACATGGCCTGTGTTATGTTGCACTGTGGAGAGAGAGCTAATAGAATTGTTTTTTTCTTCATATTTTACTTTCGACCTGTTTAGCCAAATTCAAGGCTTCTGAATGTCATTTCACATCACAGGATCATGATAGCCGAGTGTGCCACTGATAGTGAGAATGTATCACTGAACTACAATTACTTTAACTACAATAACCTACTGTCTCTACATACTCTGCACACATATATACACACACTGACGTATGCTCAAGCACAAAAGGGCACACGTGAGATGGACACGCATGCATGCCAACACATCTCCATGGAGACCAAGTGATGCCCACCCTGTGAATAAAAACAAACACCAGTGCATGAAAGGAAAATTAACTTTATCTTGCCAGCACACATCTCTTTGATGTTACTAGTTATGGGACATTTTGTTTTTATTTGAATACCTAATTAATGATGATGAACATTTATTTTTCAAAAGGCTTGTGAAGACAAAATATTTAACCAATATGAATGTAGCCTGTACACAGAATTCGCATGATAATTTTTTTTGAGGATGTTTCTAATTCGTTTATCATTATGATTGATTGTTCTTTATCAAGGATGAAGGTGTGTTGGAATGCAGCCTGGTTGTGAACTGCTTCCTATAAAATGACATTTGTGTCACAAACTGCCTTTCTATTCTTAATTCTGTTATCCTCCATTACCAGAACATCTGACTCAATGATCACATGTAAAAAGTATTTCCTTAACCTATCTACAGGCTGCCAACTGAACTGCAATGCCCCTCCTCTGAATGGGAGAGCTTTGTCAGGCTGCAGTATGCACGGCCATCGTTCATAGCCTCTAGCCAATGAGTATCTACTGCCACCATGTGGTGAAATGAGAAAATAATAATAATTGGGCACCTATTGTAAGGAATAGTTCACACATATTTAAAAGTTACTTGTTTCCTTGCCCTGAAAGCAGTCTAAGGACATCCATGCTTCGGTTTTGTTAACCTAGCCACTGTCAACTGATAAATGTAATATGTTCAAACCACACCAAATTAGCATTCCTAACTAGGTGGTTACCTTGCATGACAAGCTTCCAACCAAATCAGTGTAGCTCACTAATCTCAGTTAACCCAGAAATAAAATATTGCATAATTTGTTCAGATATGTTTATGCAGGCTGTCCATCAGAGATTAGTAGATCACTGATTGGGTTGGAAGCTTGTCATGCAAGGTAACCACCTAGTTACTATCCAGTCATGCAGTATTCTGACCATAAAGTGAAGAGAGGAGAAAGAAAACGCAAACACAATAGGGTTATTGTTTTACAGTAAAAAAATGAAACCAAAAACAAGATTTTATTAAAGAAGCATAAAAAATAAAACTCTTGATACATTTCTCATAACCGTCAAGACACCTGAAATGATACGCATATATTGTTCCGGCTCACGGTTAAAAAGGTCCATAAACTTTCAAATAAAATATATTTCAATTTTAAAATTTCTTCAATAATTTTTTTCTCATTTTGTTATAAATTGCCTACATGTTGTACACAGGAAATAAAGAAAAATATGGAAAATAAAACATTATTTTGAAGTAATAAAAAGGGTCACATTATTGTCTGGGATATTTAGGTAAGCAAATAAATTGCAAAAATAAAGTGTAAAAAGCTTTTTTTTCCCCATCTTAAAAATTATTTGCTAATGCCTGATGGCTTGAAGACATGCAGATGGTTAACCTACAAATAATGATACATGTTGTTAAAAACTACACAACTTCATTACTTAAGTCTGGTAACTTTTTGAAAATGAGACCCCATTGATTGTATTCAGGGTATATACACATACAAGTCAGGCCTGAAACCTTGTTTGCTGACATAACATTTTGGTTCTGCATTATAAAATAATTAAAGCAAAATAGGAAGGCGGAGTTCCAGGGGGAGCGGCTTTCCCGGAGGGCGTGGCTCCCCCATGGTCCACCTCTGTCACAAAAAGGTCAGAGGTCACTCCTCTATAAACCCTGTTTTCAAACCTTAAGGGGGTTGGGGGTCAGGGGTTAAGTTCAGCAAAAATAATAATCTGCAGTCAATGAGAATATTCTGTACCTTTTAACTGTTCATGCTACTGTACATGACCATGCATGTACATGACCTGGTGAAACAACCAGACCAGAACCTACACCAGAACCACCTGGCAAATTCAACTCCGGACATTTTAGTGACTGAGAAGTGATGGGCAGTTCTGGAAAAGGGCCTTTAAGATTGGCCTCCTTTAAACACTAAAAAAGATTCACAAAAAACAGTCATGTTTATCTGTTCATTTAAAGACATGGTCACATCCTTCCCTGCACCCAATTTGAGTCTGCAGGAGCAGAGAAAAACGATACGAAAAACATTTGAAGTCAGACCCAGCAGGGACGGGTTGCCAGTTTACAAAGATCGCTCCCACGTTTAGGGGAGAGAGAGAGCGGGGTCAGGGTTGCCAGTTATACAGTTAACTCCTAAAAGAAGAACAGGAGAGAGGACGCTATGACCATGTGTTGCCGTAGAAAACAGTATCTGTGTCAGTAGTGAGTTGCACCAAAGCACCATTATAGTCTTCAGTGAAATGTGACTCATCAGTCAGCCAGCTACTAGCTCCACATCTGTGGACATGGAGGGCCTTTCAAGTTGGGAGCGTTGCTCTGTAGTTCAATGTGGAGGGTCGATTATTAGATTACAGACTAAGACGTCAAGCCGCTGTGCCCTTCACTTGACGAGCTCATTTAGTCAGGCATCTCACAGACACAGAAGTTGTTTGTTAAAAAGTAGCCCGGCTTGAACCTCAACCTGCACTTGAGCTCTGTAGCAATGTGAACTGTCTGTTCGTTCTCTTTAAAAAAAAATACTTGTAAATTATATGTTTAATTGTCACACACCAGATAGGTGCAGTGAAATGTGTTGTTTTACAGGGTCAGCCATAGTAGTATGTTGCCCATGGAGTAAATTAGGGTTAAGTGCCTTGCTCAAGGGCACATCAGATTTTTTCGCCTTGCCGGCTCGGGTATTTGAACCAGTAACCTTACGGTTACTGGCCCAACGCTCTCACTGCTAGGCTCCCTGCTGCCCTACATCCTTTCCTTCCTCCCTGAAGGTAGTCACTGATCTGAAGTGACGTTATTGAGAAAAATCCAGTAGAGAACCTGCTTTCACCTGTCCACACATGGTAGATCAGTGGATAGTACCTGAAGGTGTGAGGGTAGAAAAGGATGCTGCATTTGAAAAGTATTGGAACAGAGCCTTCTGTTCATTCGTTCACAGGCGATGGACATGAACGGTACTGACAGGGTTGACCAGTGTTCTATAGATGTAGACCAGAGAGAAAAGAACAAGCAACACATTCTGCAGCTGTTGGGGTTTGAACACAGAGTGTCTGGAAGCCCTGGATGAACTAGCTACTAGCTGCCATATTGGATAAATTGATTATTCTCGCTGTTGTCACAGATGAGAAGGTTAACATCTGAGAATGTAGCATGTGTGCAAGGAAGCCCTTTTTTCTCTCCCATTCATTGTTTTGATTTTGTTTGCCATGGCTTGTCTCATTCTATGAGTCGATCCGCATGTACGTTCAGAGGGCTGCATTTAACAACCATGTACCGTCACACCAAAACCAACCATGTCATACTTAAAAACACAGTATGAGAGAGGCAGTTGATATGAAAATACACACACAAAAATAGAAACACAAAATAGAACTCCCAGGATGACACTGCCACTTGGGAGGGGTGATCCAGGTTGGACTAGGAGACAAAGAGCTTTGCTGGGGGAGTTGAGGCGGGGAAGACCAAAAATCACTCAATCGAGGACCCCAAGGAGGAGGGGGGGGGGGGGGGGGGTCTAATAACATTACAATGTGTCGCTCAAGGTTTGCAGGGCACAGAGACGGCTAATTCTGATGCCCCTAATACTGGGGGCGGGCCACCCCCCCTTAACCAAGACCAAGACCCCTATTGGATGAGACATTCCTGTGTGTGTGACATCACCAAGACCCATCTTATCCTATTTGACTTCAACAATGCAGTTCAGAGAGGAGGGAGTCAGGGGCAACATACTTTACAGTCAAAAGCCAAAGACCCATTTAAAAAATACATTAACACTCCAAAGCAAACTAACAGATACAGGATCTGTGTGGACTGGGTTGTGGATGGCTAGGTGTCTACACTGAGCTCCACAGGGGGAAGAGAGAGAGGAAGAGACTGGCACTATTGAAGGAGAGAGAGGGGGTGGAGAGGGAGAGCGCGAGAGGAGAGAGGGGTTGAGAGAAAGACGGACCAAGGGGGACTGAGTAACTGACCTCTGGCATTAGTTCTGATATTCCTTAAATAACGTAACACCATTCTATTATTCCTATACTACTCATTAAAACCACAACATTGGATATCAGTTTTTGAACAGTATAAATATCTTAAGTGTTTCAATCTTCATAAGATCTAGGAGAGGGTCTTCTGGCTTGTTTCTGTCTGATAGGTGTCTCTGTGCCTGTTTTAAAGTCAGTTCCAGGCTCATACCACAGCATTTCCTTTATGTTACTACACTAGCTAGCCAGAGAGCGAGAGAGACCTAGTCAGTTGTACAACTGAAATGTGTCTTCCGCATTTAACCCAACCCCTCTGAATCAGAGAGAGAGAGGAGAGATGGCGAGAGAGAGCTGAAAAAAAAAAGAACAGGAGAACTCAGAAGACCAGAAAAACGGCGTTTTGCATCCTGTCAAAGAACATCGAAAAGAAAACTGAGTAGAAAAGTGCAGGCCTAGGCAGCTCCGTTCAAAAATATCTGTTATTAAGTACAAAAGTGTCAAAGGAAAGGCTTGTGAGAGAAGCAGGCGGAGATATCTGAAGAAGAAAAAGAAGCGAGAGAATGAAAACTATACAGACAGACAGGCTGGCAACCTAGATGCTGAGCTAGGCCAGGCCTGAAGGCTGGTCCAGGTCAGAACGAAAGCCTGAAGAAAGATAAGACACTGGTTTCCTTCCATACAAGTCCACCATGAAACCTCTTGATCCCACCCAACTGTTTCTGCAGTCCGCAGAATCAATCAAAATCAGTCAGTCTGGAAATGTTTTCATTATCATTATTATTATTATTGTCATAGTTATTATCATTGAATCAACATCTGTATAGTGTCATATTTATAATATTGTAATCATTATGGTCCATCCTATATGCAGAGAAGGTTGTTGGTGTCCGTCTGTCCTGCCACAGTTGATGCTCCACTGCAGTTCTCTCGGATAGTAAGACAGTAAAGTTCTGTTTTTTAAGATGACACCCCTACCCCTCTCGCCCCCTCCTCTGTCCCCCTCCCCTCCCTTGTCTTCGGGTGGGTGAGGGGGGGCTATTAGGAGAAGATACGGATGCACTGTGTGGCAGTGGAATGGCAGACAGGGCACTCAGGCTCAGCGGACTGGCAGATCTGTCCGGCGCAGTCCATGCAGAACAGGTTGTGGCCGCACGGCACCAGAGCCGCTGTCACCTCGCTCTCAAAGCACACAAAGCAGTCCCTGCTCACGCCCCCTGGCCCCATGCCAACCAGACCCCCAGCACCAGAGCCTGCCGCGGCTTTCAGCCGGCCCAGCATGCCAGAGGCCAGGCCCACTCCGCTGCCCCCGCCCTCTGAGTCGGTGGGAGAGCCTCCGGGCAGGGAGGAGGCTGAGCAGGAGGAGTAGCCGGTGGATGAGCCTCCGGAGCTGGAGCTAGATGCTCCAGAGAAGGACCCTGCACCGGCACCGCCCGACTGCAGCCAGGAGAGGGTGCTGAGCGGGTCGCTCTGGGCCCGACGAGCCAGTGGATGATCCAGGGGTCCCACCACGGTGTCGGGGGGCAGGGTGGGGGACAGGCGGGGGGTGACGGCGCCGCCACTCAGGCCGCTGCTGTTTCGGCGGAGAGGCTGCTTCTGAGAGGTGCCTGGGATCTTCCCTCCTCCGTTGACAAAAGGGGCCCAGATGTTTGCGGCGCTGAACTCAAAGCCCAGCTCCTCAGAGGGGAGGCCCGGGGTGGAGTCGCCCCCGAAAGTGAACCCCCCTCCTCCGCCGGCGTTGCTGGAGCTTGTGCTGAATGGGCTGGTGGGGCTGCCTCCCTCAGTGGCCCTCCTGGGGGCACAGTAGCTCTCAGAGCCCATCCCTCCGTTGTGTTGGTGGTAGGCGGCCAAGGAGGACAGCTTCCTCCCAGACGAGTGGTGCATGGCCAGGGGGAGCGGGGGTGGTGGAGGGGGAGGCGGGGGTGGAGGGGCAGGGTGGGGGTTGTTGGCCCGAGCCCAGAGAGCGGCGCCCAGTCCCCCAGCCAGCGAGCCCAGGCCCTCTAGGCTGACGTCGGTTCCGTTAGTGTGGAAGTCGTTGTCTCCCTGGAGGTCCACAAAGGCCCCGGTCCGCAGCGTGATGTGCGTCTCGATCTCCTCCCGGGCTCGGTCCACGTTCTCAGGCATGCCTGTCACCTCGAACACGGGGTCCTTCTCCCTGCTGGGCGTCACGATGTAGGTGTGTGTCTGCTGCTGGATGCGCTTGATGGTCGCCCCCTTTGGCCCCACCACTAACCCCACCACGCGGTACGGCACCCGCACCTGCACCAGGGAAGGAAATACTTAGTAATACAGGATAAAGTGGGGATGAACCATGCCCTGTACTGGCAGAGCAGTAAAGCAATTGGCAAGAACTGGCATTTAATGGAATTGAACGGTTGTGCAATAAGTGTATGAAAGTAGACATTATTATGACCTCTACTTTATCTATTCAAAGAAGGGACATTTTAACCAACAGATATTTGTATATCTCCACAGGTGCTTGTGATGCTGACTACTGGCCAAGGCTCCCTTGTCGTAAAATAAAGATGACCATCTCAATGGAACTCAACTGGTTAAATAAATGATTAACAAAAATGAGGCTGCTGTATCTCCTACTGTGGTTGTCGTACCTGTATGGTGGTCTGTCCAGGCAGGTGTGGGGGTCCGGGGAGTGCTCCCCCTGTCCCGGGTGCTCCTGTGCCCGTGGCCCCAGCCTTGCAGCGGGATGCCCGGATCATGGAGAAGTGCTCAGCCGCAGAGACGATCTCCCGCTTGGCCATCTCCACGTCCTCCCTGCGCCCTGTCACGATGAACACGGGCTCCTCGCCCCTCACCGGGGTCTTTATGTAGGTGTTGGTCTTCGCACGCAGTGCCTTGATCTTACAGCCTGGGACAGAGAGGGGTGGAAGGGTGAAGAAGAATGTGTGTATATATAATACTAAATAATTAATCATTATTTTCATATTGGGAATTTAAATGGAAAGTATCAGTTGTGCATAAACTATGTGAAAATGAATTACTACAATATATACAGTGACTAACTTTAAGGGGCAAGCTACATCCATATTTAAATTGATGATATGTACGCATTGATTCTTGAAGAATATAACTAATAAATGCCTCATCAGTATGAAAAGGTATGCACTCACTAACTGTAAGTCGCTCTGGATAAGAGCGTCTGCTAAATGACTAAAATGTAATGGGCTTAGTTCAACTGTCTTACCCCACCAGAACCCCAAATATAAGCTTGTTTGACTCCAATGTTTGTAAACAAATTACATGTAAACAAACACTATAAAGCTTCAAAACATCGTTAAGTATAATTTTGATATCACAGATGGTCTGTCCTTACATCTATAGCTCGGTCTATGCATTTGAGAGTGGTTACAATTCTCCAACCCCTCCCTGAGCTTTTTACCAAAACAGGGGCGGGGTTTACCAAAACAGGGGCGGGGATATGCTTTGTTATTGTTACAACCGCTGCTTGCTGTTTTATTTATTCAAAGACAAGGAATTTGTCGGACACACAAAAAAATTACTAAGCAGGCTAAAATATTCATCTGGCCACATTGCAATCACTGGTTGACAAACAGGCTGGTTAAAATCTGTTTCCATAATATGTAGGCATATAGCTTGTTAGCCCAGTAGTATTTATAACGCTAACCCAAGAACCGCTGCACTGTTCCTTTAAATATGGACGGTTTACTCTAACTCACCAATGGGGTGCTGAGTGTGTGATGTCATTCTGGGAGGCAGAAAGCATGGCATTTTCAAACAAAGAGAACAATGCAATAACGCTGCCACAACTGGGCCAAGCATAGACTGTGTGTATGCAAACTAGTGGTGAATATTGAGCTAAATGTGCGGAGATAAAATATGGGTAGATTTTGAAACCAGTCGAGAGCGGTCGACGGGGCTGGATTCGGTGCGAAAACACCGCCCAGTCCCGTGTTCTGTGCATCGGACCTCCCAACAGCCTCGCATTGGGGCTGAGCAAAATTACATACAAATGACTAAAAAATCTACTTTTAAAGTGGACGTCAACGGCAGGCCTATTGTTTAAATGTGACTTGTGGCGTACATATAGCTAAATAAAAATTATTCGATAGGTTTCTTTTGTTTGGTGCAGGCTGCTAGACATGTCCAGACTCCCGACAATCTGCCGCTTTGTCTGACCCTGTCCCACCCCTCCCCCCCCTCCTACTCGAATACCATACACATAACCAAGAACATCCTTAGTAGTCGCAACACTGTTGTCAGGGACATGCAAATTAGGCTAGTAGGTAATTCTTCATCTACATGCATTATGAAAGCGCATAAACAACATCCATCGAGGCCAACCCCCAATAACACGAGCCGGCGCTGATAAACTTATGAGACATCATCTCACCACCCAAACAAAGGAAGGCAGTCCTATGCATTCATGTGGTTATGAGAGAGGTAGTTGGTAATTGCTAGACCCTGAACTTCTATAGCTAGAATACCTTATGAATTAGCTAGATACGGCCAAACCACATTGATAAACAAAAGTGAAAAAATACAGAATTCTTACCTTGTCTTCCCACTATTTCAGCAACGTGTTCGGAGCTGGGCACAGGTACGCATTCTGTCATGTTGACACTCCTCTTGCGATTGCAGAGAACAGAGCTTTGTTCCCCGAGCATGGGGTGAGAGTGCGGGCCAGCCATGTGGTACCCGCCTGATCCATAGTACTCTGGAGACGGGGAGCAGGATGTCGGGGAGTCCCGAGAGCCTCCTTGGTGCTCCAGCATCTGCAGGTCGACATAACCGCCGTTGCAATTCTCGGAGCCCGGTCCCTGGTTCCCGTCGAGCGTGTCAACGAGCCCACCACCGCCCCCACAGTCCACCTTCTCCAGGGCCATAAATGACAGCTGGTCCAGGGCGAAGCGGAGCGCCTCCTGATGGTCCTCGTCCCGGGACTCCTGGTCCGTCTCTCGCGGCAGGCTGACCCCGTTGTGCTGGCTGCTCACTACCATGTCGTGGTCCATAATCTCGGGGTGGAATAAGGGGCTAGGCATAGTCCACGAGGATGAACATCAGTTCTTGGGTCGTCTGTGTGCAAAGCGCTCTTTTCTAGGGAAGAGACACAACAAAGGGAGTTTCAGCACAAAACGTGTTGCGCCATGATACGTTTGAGAAAACACACAACTTAAATGCACTAAATGTTATAAAACATATCTTATGTCATATAGTTTGCTAGTTTCATAAATAGGTTAGTGTGTTGCTCCACTTCAACCCTTCTATCCTGCTTTGTCTGTGTGTTGTTGCATTCTGTCTCACTGTGTGGCAAAAATAAAGCTGTGTGTGACTGGTTGGTTCTTGTTGAAATATGCATCATACACACATTAAATATTCATTAACACTGACCAACACTAGAGCATTTTCTGTTCTCTATTCAGTCCGTCTCATCCCGAAAAAGGACCATCAAATTAGGAAAACCGGTAATCTGCTAGCTAACTAAGGTTAGCAAACTAGCTCCACACAGTTGAGTCTGTCACGTTGTCGTCCCCTTTGTTTGGGAGCACCACAGCTAGCTGGCTAGTTCGATAGCCGAGCAAAAATATTTCAGTTCAATAATTTGTCTAAGCCAAATACTTGTATTTTTTATTTGAATAAAATATCATGAAGTTACTTTACCTTTTGGCAACCTCCCAATTTTATGGAGTTCCTCTCTTTTGATTCTAGAAGGAAAGATGAGTGGCGACCAGTGCGCTAATGCTATCTAGTAGCTAGCTCGCTAAATTGGGGGCGTTGGAGAAAATGTTTTAAAACGAAAGAGAAGGGACAGGCTGTTTATAAGATCCTATTCCAGACGAATGTCGAGGTCATTTAGCGGCCCGTCAATCTTTGCATCGGTTCGTAGTCTATCATTATATTTCCATGCAGATACCTCCCGACAATTGTATCTGGATATTTATCCCGGCTGTTCCCTGGTCCGCCGCCTTTGTCTCGCCAGGCGCACGCCGCTCTGCCTGTCTCGCACACAGAACTGACGTCAGCCGCGACACAACAATGGGTTCAAAGGCCACGCAACACAGAAGCGCATCACCGCAAGCGTGCTAGCCTCACAGTCACGATCAATATTATTGTGACTGTGGTTAATTTTCCTAATCGGAAATTGATAAAGCAAATTAGTCATTTGATGATTCCATGTCAGAGCTTTTGAAAAGTGGTAGGTAATTGGCAGTTATGGATGCTATGGTGGTGTGGTGTCACAAGGTTGGGTGGGTTATTGTGAGAATGGGGACATTCTAAATGACCTATCAAAACCTAGAACTCCAAAAATGTTGTCAAGGGTAGCAAGCAGTTCAAGATCACCAACTATGTTTAAAGGTCTAGAACGAAATAATGTCCCTGTTACTTATTGTGTGGGTGCCTGTCATCCCCTTGGCATTGACCAAATGGGACAATAACTGATTAATAGATGCCAGACATGTAATCTGGAATAAGAAATGTATTATCCATTATTGATTGCTATCCATTTCTGATTCTCACATTGACCTAGAGCAGGGATGGGCAACTTTGATGGGGGTGGGGCCACGAAAAACCTTAACTCACAAGCACGCCCTCATTCTCATCGACGGGGCTGTAGTGGAGCAGGTTGAGAGCTTCAAGTTCCTTGGTGTCCACATCACCAATGAACTATCATGGTCCAAACACACCAAGACAGTTGTGAAGAGGGCACGACAACGCCTATTCCCCCTCAGGAGACTGAAAAGATTTGGCATGGGTCCTCAGATCCTCAAAAAGTTATATAGCTGCACCACCGAGAGCATCCTTACTGGTTGCATCACCACCTGGTATGGCAACTGCTCGGCCTCCGACCGCAAGGCACTACAGAGGGTAGTGCGTACAGCCTAGTACATCACTGGGGCCAAGCTTCCTGCCATCCAGGACCTCTATATCAGGCAGTGTCAGAGGAAGGCCCTGAAAAAATTCCCAAAGACACCAGCCACCCTAGTCATAGACTGTTCTCACTGCTACCGCACGGCAAGAGGTACCGGAGCGCCAAGTATAGGTCCAAAAGGTTTCTTAACAGCTTCTACCCCAAAGCAATAAACTCCTGAACAGCTAATCAAATGGCTACCCAGACTATTTGCATTGACCCCCCTCCCCCCATTTGTACACTTCTGCTACTCTTTGTTTATTATCTATGCATAGTCACTTTACCTCTACCTACATGTACATATTACTTCAATTACCTCGACTAACCGGTGCCCCCGCACATTGACTCTGTACCGGTACCCCCTGTATAAAGCCTCGTTACTGTTCTTTTGTCATTGCTCTTTAATTATTAGTTTTTGTTATGGTATTTATCATCTTTTTTTGTTCATCTTTTTTTTTTTAACTTCAGTTTCTTTTAGTAAATACTTTCTTAACACTTATTTTTCTTAAAACTGCATTGTTGGTTAAGGGCTTGTAGGTAAGCATTTCACTGTAAGGTCTACACCTGTTGTAATCGGCGCATGTGACAAATACAATTTGATTTGATCATGAAGGGCCACAGCCTACCCACTTCCATACCCACACATGCATCCAGAACCGGCCCTAGCATTTTGGGGGCCTGTCATGCCATATAATGTCCCCCAGCCAAAAAGTGTCCCCCCCCCCCCGCATCACAATGGGATTCGATAAACTATTAGCGTCCGTTGCTATGTCAACGGTGTGATGATCTAATGATTCAAATTTTGGAGATCATTACAGCCTAAATAATGTTATTTTCATCCCTGCTATTCAAACAAGGATGATTTCCGCTACAATTTCACTGTTTAAACAAGGTTTGTTTAGTTAATAAAATGAAAACATTGCTTCAAACAACTTTTGGGTAGTTTGTTAACATTACAACATGAAATCCATGTCTTAAACGTTGCTACATTTCAGAAATAGCTAAGAAAACGTGTAATCTGCTTGACACATTAATGTTACTTACCTTACAGATCAAAGTCAGCTAATTTCCACTCCATTCATATGCAAATCCGTTTGATTCATACACTGGCTTGTCTGGCTGTCATATTTTTATTTTAACCTGCCCTGCCCTTCCCTTATCGACACTGAAATAATATAATTTCAGTAGTCCTCTATTATGATTCAATTTTTTCTATCTCGCATAGCTTATTAGTACACTCTTGTGGTTGCACCCCTTCTCAAAAAACCTACACTCGATCCTTCCGATGTCAATAACTACAGACCAGTATCCCTTCTTTCTTTTCTCTCCAAAACTCTTGAGCGTGCCGTCTTTAGCCAACTCTCTTGCTATCTCTCTCAGAAAGACCTTCTTGATCCAAACCAGTCAGGTTTCAAGACTGGTCATTCAACTGAGACTGCTCTTCTCTGTGTCACGGAGGCTCTCCGCACTGCTAAAGCTAACTCTCTCTCCTCTGCTCTCGTCCTTCTAGACCTATCTGCTGCCTTTGATACTGTGAACCATCAGATCCTCCTCTCCACCCTCTCTGAGTTGGGCATCTCCGGCGCGGTTCACTCTTGGATTGCATCCTACCTGACAGGTCGCTCCTACCAGGTGGCGTGGCGAGAATCTGTCTCCGCACCACATGCTCTCACCACTGGTGTCCCCCAGGGCTCAGTTCTAGGCCCTCTCCTATTCTCGCTATACACCAAGTCACTTGGCTCTGTCATATCCTCACATGGCCTCTCCTATCATTGCTACGCAGACGACACACAATTAATCTTCTCCTTTCCCCCTTCTGATAACCAGGTGGCGAATCGCATCTCTGCATGTCTGGCAGACATATCAGTGTGGATGACGGATCACCACCTCAAGCTGAACCTCGGCAAGACGGAGCTGCTCTTCCTCCCGGGGAAGGACTGCCCGTTCCATGATCTCGCCATCACGGTTGACAACTCTGTTGTGTCCTCCTCCCAAAGTGCAAAGAGCCTTGGCGTGACCCTGGACAACACCCTGTCGTTCTCCGCTAACATCAAGGCGGTGACCCGATCCTGTAGGTTCATGCTCTACAACATTCGCAGAGTACGACCCTGCCTTACACAGGAAGCGGCACAGGTCCTAATCCAGGCACTTGTCATCTCCCGTCTGGATTACTGCAACTCGCTGTTGGCTGGGCTCCCTACCTGTGCCATTAAACCCCTACAACTCATCCAGAACGCCGCAGCCCGTCTGGTGTTCAACCTTCCCAAGTTCTCTCACGTCACCCCGCTCCTCCGCACACTCCACTGGCTTCCAGTTGAAGCTTGCATCTGCTACAAGACCATGGTACTTGCCTACGGAGCTGTGAGTGGAACAGCACCTCCGTACCTTCAGGCTCTGATCAGTCCCTACACCCAAACGAGGGCATTGCGTTCATCCACCTCTGGCCTGCTGGCCCCCCTACCTCTGCGGAAGCACAGTTCCCGCTCAGCCCAGTCAAAACTGTTCGCTGCTCTGGCACCCCAACGGTGGAACAAGCTCCCTCACGACGCCAGGACAGCGGTCACTCACCACCTTCCGGAGACACTTGAAACCCCACCTCTTTAAGGAATACCTGGGATAGGATAAAGTAATGCTTCTACCCCCCCTTACCCCACCCCCCAAAAAAATTAAAATAATAATAATATTGTAAAGTGGTTGTCCCACTGGCTATCATAAGGTGAATGCACCAATTTGTAAGTCGCTCTGGATAAGAGCGTCTGCTAAATGACGAAAATGTAAATGTAGTTGAATATATATTTATCTATTTTTAATTGTAATTTTTTTTGTCATTTAGCAGACGCTCTTATCCAGAGCGACTTACAGTTAGTGAGTGCATACATTTTCCATACTGTAGGTTCTAGGATACAACAATGAATACATGTAGAACTAATAAATACCATCAAAGGATACCTTACAACTTAGAATAATGAACACCTTGTGAAACAGCTGTGAAAACCAACCTGGCAATATTTAAGATTTTAATATACAAACTTTGATATTTTTTTTGGTACAGTTACGTCATTAATTTATTTTCACAGATTTTTTGTTCACTCACATGACAATCATAGACTAAAATACAGAATTCTGGTGTGTAATATAGAGGTGGTGGCTGTGTGGTTGGGAGGTAATACCTATCACTTGTTCTCAACA